CTCGATACACTTGCGCTAGACGCACTAAAGGATATAGAGCGCCGGCCAGTTTGTCGTGGAAGAACTCTGAGCGAGGGTTTATCAGAGGGCGATTCGACGGATTTGGTCGCTTTGATGGGGGGTGGAGGGATTGGTGTAGGACTAGGGGAAGATCGAACCTTCGTGGCATTCCAATCGATTTCACCAAGACCTAAGCCCATGTCTAACGACAATGGTTGAGGGAGCTGCGGACTTGGGACATCGACCTTCTTGATTGTGTTGGGAGCGGAAGATGATTTACCCTTGAGGGAGCCCATGGATCTCAAAGACTTGAGCGTTTTCCCGACGGTTCTCGCGGGAGGAGACTCAACAGCAGGCGAAGGAGGCTGGGAAATTGCTTTGGACGCTTTAAGTCTGCCTAGAATTCCTCGAGAAGGCTTTCCTCTACTCTGCTGCGTTATTGAACGTGCGCCAAGCGTGCTTTGGCTGCCAAAGCGACCATCGAAATCTCGTAGATCATCATAGTCACTGGACAGCACAGAACCTAAGCTCATCCGTCTCTTGGTATTATCCGACGGGTAAACGTTGTTTCTTCCAGGGCTCTGAGGTCGCGAAGGAGCCTGGACTCCATTGCCAGACGTCGACTTTCCATTCTGAAATCTGGGAGACAGTGGTGCGGTGTAACCAATTCCTCGGTATGCGACAGTTGGTGGCTTTCCTAGCATCCACGCCTGGATCTTCCACTCCGCTGCCTGTGCAGTCTTCAGAATGCCATTCGGGACGTACTTGAGCCACCGGTATCCTCCTGTGCACCAGCTGAGTGAATGAAGCACGATCAAAAGTTCCTTCAGCACTCACCACTTTCGGAGCCGCCTATCCATGGCGCTAGCAGACAAAGGTCACCCCGAATACGATTAGGAACACGGTTCGCGAAGGCCAAAGCATAGGGTGCGCCGGCTGAGTGGGCAACGATGCTGCATTCATTTATTTTTAGCTGGTCGAGAACCTCCTCGACAGCTGCCGCCCATTCCATGATGCCTCTAGCAGATTTGGAATGAGGAGTCTCGGTACGGCCTAGACCCCATCTATACCCGCGTCAATAAAATCATTGTCGGTGAAGAAACAGAAACTTACCTATCTATAGCGATCAGGCGAAGGCCAAGACAATCTGCCATTTCATCGTACAGGCCCATGACGTGTCTAACACAGCCGAGACCAAGAAATACAACAAGAGGAAAACCATTTGGATCACCCATATCCGCAAGACTGACGGTCAGCGGGTGATCAAGTGAGGCGTGAGGGAATCGTGTGAGCTTCAGCAAAGTCGTTAATCTAGCGGAGCGAAGATATTCTGCTATGGCCTGGGGCACGGAGGTTGGAGAAGTGGTAATGGGAACGGGGTCCAATGAGTACTGCGAATCCCGCACTGATGCAGTCGATGAATGGGAATTAACCTCCGAGGCTGCCCCGCGAAGGTGTACACTTGAGCTGTCCGACGTGTTCGAAGGTAGGATGGTGAGTGGGGGAGCACGAGGCGATGCAAGTGGGGGCGCGACCTGTGATTTTTTCTGGTTATGATACGTGCGACGGACTTCATCTGCAATGCTATCAAGGGAGGATCTGCCCAACGGTTCAGCTTCTGTATCAGGCGTGAGCAGCTCAGGCTCAGATTCCTCAATATCAACATCATTGTTATGGCCATCGGCGTGGGTATTACTGGACCCATGTTTTGGAGGCTCTCTAGAGCGGTTCTGAGCAGAAACTGGAGCGTGGTTCCGGATGATTTCCGAAATAGAAGGAATCACAGTCCTTGTACGCTCTGGTGGCTGCGCAAGAGCGACTGGAAGGTCATCAACGGAGCCATCAACTGGCGCCGAAATGGTGACCTCATACAGCCCCGAGTCAACTGTGATTGTCGACGAGGAGCCCTTGCGTGAAGAACCAGGTCGCATATGAGTGCGGCGAGGAATGCGACGAGCGGGAGGCGACGGCCTTGGTTCATCTTCATCTTCGTCTGAAGGCACGATTTTCTCTTGTCGTCTTTTCCCTCTGCCAAGAACTATACCAGGTGGAGGAGTGGGTAGAGGTGGTTGGTATAATGGGTGGTGATGTCTTGCATTACCAAACCTTGAGCGGCTAGAGGAGCTTTTTCCAAAGAAGTCTTCCATCGTGAAACCATTCATTCCGTCCACCATTGCATCCATGGCCTCCACCCCGGCAACCGGGGCTGAGACGACTACCGGGAAATGGCCAAGGGAGTAGTTTCTGATGGAAGATGAGTCTCTCGGTGTTTGCGGGGGGGATTCTGCAAAACTAGAGGTCTCGACAGAGAGCCGGAGTGATGGAATGGGGGTCTCTTTCCACTTTGACTTGGTGGATGATGGGCCTGTGCGTGTCCGATGACGCGGGACCCTCGGAGTGATATCACCTCCCGACAAAAAGTCGGGCACCTCAAGAGCAAGATCCACAGTTGGGAAAGCGTATGAAAGCTGGGTCGCTTTCTCTTTCTCTTTGCCTTTGTCCTGATCAAACTTCCGGGAATGCTTCCGCGGAAGATCGTGAGCATGAAAAGTACGACCAGGACTCAATTGGGACCGTGAATGAATGTCGAAGTAATCGGGGGAGATGCGAAGGGGAGCAGGGGAAGGATGTTTGGCGTCTGAGGAAATGTTGGGCCTGTGGACGTCACGTCTAGATGACAAGAGGGCATTGGGTTTCCGGAGAGGACGGTCAGTTCCCATACTAGTGTTTGAGTTCGACATCACGTAGGCAAAAAAGTGCGATGCAAGCCTAAAGGCCCTGATGAAATTTACGCAAGTATTCCTCCGAGTCCTCACGGGGAACGTTCTGAAACGCCTCAGCTGAGACCTGTTTTGTAGTGTCCAATGCTTTTATTGACCCAGCGTACCTCAAGCGTGCCTCAAGCTCACCTCCTCTACCAACTCGTTTAATCTCGTTAACGCTAACGTTGTCGGCTGTAGTGGTATCAACCACTGTGGCGCCAGTTCAACGCAGCAGAATAAGGATCCGGGACCCGTTACTGAGCGTCTGACGTCGCGTCAGTCTGTTTCCTAAGAAAACAAGACACAAACCTGGTACGAAGTTGATGGAGAATGTCCAGTACTTTACTTTAGTCTGGTGCCTATTTTCGTTGCTGGCCAACAACACTGCCACTGTTTCGGGTTCCTTGGTCGCTTTATTGTCGTGGGGCAATGACTCGGACTATGGGGCATTGCAAACACTTAATTTCAATAATTTACAATTCAACTTGTTGACTTTAACAATATTGTCACCCACAAACGTCGACTCGGACATCCTTCTCCGCAGGCGTCCCTCACTAATAGAACTCTTCTATGTGACAGTGGTTACGAGAACGTTAGAGCATCATATCACTGTCGTCGTAACGCACTCCAGACGAGCTTGCATCCAAAGGACCCTCTGCTGGGATAAACATGATACAAGATATAACTTCCTTCGCACCGGTTTTGCAGAAGTGACTGACATATTTTCAGTGTTCACTGTTTTTTTCCCTCTGAGGCATGGCCTGGAACCTCAGGCTGCCGTGCCCAATGACATGGACTTTAGGGTTCGTGCCTGCTTGGCAACGGGCCCTGTTGTATTTTAGTGCCACCGCAAAGATGTTTACTAGCTGAACCGTCCGATTGAACAGTTGGACGTCGAACGGTTGAACGTGCAGGCTATCATATACATGGCTTAGCCTGCTATGTTATGTGTTCCAAGCGCCTATAGTCAAGAATTACCGGTTATGTCATGTCTGGCCCGTAACTTCGTTCTCAACATCGTGAGCCACGCTGTCTTGCAACGAGCGGATCCATCCGCCTTCTAGTCCCTGACTTTTTCATAGCGCCGAACTAACGTTTTCCACCCCAGCAGGCGCTACCTACTCTTGCGAATAGTGGAATGTATGCGTATACATAGCGCACATCTGGCGATCATGTGTGCACTCATCCACACTTTACCATCTTATCACTTGGCTGTCATAAGTGTGCTATCAGTGGTGACTGCAACCGTTGCACGACGGACCGACAGGTTGCGTTTGTTCTTTGCACGGTGCCTGAGAACTTAACCGTTCAATATCTACTTATCAAGTGCTTAAGCCCCGGTCCTTATCATGTCGACTCCACATTACTTATAGAACGTGAGTGCTCTCGTAATCCTGTCTCTTATTGCCCTCATTGAATGGCGTCCCACCCGACGCATGAAGTGCATGGACAACCCTATGTGGACGAGAAAGCGTCGATGACCGCCGAGAAGCAAGATTCAGGAGGTTCTAGAGATGTTTTCGTTGAAGATGAAGTCCACCAGATTCAGTACAAGACCCTCAGCTGGCAGGTGCGTCTATCCGAGATTGCACGCAGTAAAATATTCATCAATATAGGCTGTCAGCCTTCTCATGATAGCAGAAATCGTTAGCAATGGTATCCTGTCTCTCCCAAGCGCACTGGCAGTCGTTGGTGAGCCCACCGTTCTGTGAATCCCACAACGGGCAGTGTTTTTACAATCTTCAGGCATTGTGCCTGCTGTCATTCTAATTGTGTTTCTCGGTATCTTTGGCCTCTACACTGCGAAGTTGCTCATCGACTTCAAGCTGAACCATCCTAACGTGCATACCATGGGTAATTAAATATGCCGTCAATGGATTTCAGACACCTGATATGCTCTAGGTGACGCTGGATACATTATGTCCGGACCTGTGGCTCGGGAGGTGCTTGCCTTTGGAACTGTCGCTTTCGCTGTGTTTGGTTCTGTGCGTCATTAAGTCAACTCGAATATCTCGCAACTGACTTGCGCCAAATAGGGCTCTGAATTACTTTCCAGCCAGCAGGCACTGTCAACACTTTCGAACCAGGGTATGTGTAGCATGTATCTGGTTATTATCACTGGCGCCGCCGCCTTCTTGATTTCACTACCGCGGACACTGGATCGCTTGGCGTGGATGGGCCTTGTTAGCGCAGCGGTTATTACTCTGGCTGGTTTCATTGCAATGATTGGGGCAGGGGCGAACCCAGTTCCTGGAAGGTCTCTGACAATAACTGCATCCAGTAACTTTTTCGATGCTTTCTTGGCTGTCACAAATCCTGTGGGTACCTTCTTATGTCTTTGGGTTTAGCGTTACTCATCTGCTCAGTAGGTTTTTGCATATGCTGGTATGAAATTTTGTGATATTAATCAACGCCCCTGAACACTTTACTAGGACACTTCATGTATGACTGTGCATGGTATTTTTGCTGAAGCTGACATCTGATAGGTTCTTTATTCTAATATCTGAGATGCGTAGACCCCAGGATGCTATGAAGGTCAGAACGCTCCTGGTACTTGATATTGTAACTGAAGGCAATTTTCAGGCAGCCTGGTGCCTGCAGGTTTTTGCCACAGTATTTTATGCTGTTTTCAGCATTGTCATGTATGTCTACATTGGGAACACGGTGCAGTCTCCGGCCCTCTTTTCTCTTCCTCCGGCATGGGCAAAGGCGACATTTGGCATTGCTCTCGCAAATTTCTTGTTGTCAGTACATAATGCCTTACTATTTGATCTAGTCCTTACCGGATCTTTTTTTTGGAAGCTCTGCCGGACTATACACTCATACAGCTGCAAAGTTGGTGTTTATCCGCATATTTCGCCATTCGGAGCATGTCTATTCGCATACGTTACTCGGATGGACGGTCTGGACCCTCCTGTGTTTCACAGGTGTAGCTGTCGCCGCGATTCTCGCCATCGCAGTTCCGATATTCTCATACCTAATCGGCATTGCGGCAGCCCTCTTTGCCGCATGGTACACGTACGGGCTGGCCGGATTTTTCTGGTTGTATGACGTATACCATCTTAAAGGTGGCGTAGACGGGATGAGACGACGACCAATCGGGACTACAATAGCAGTGCTGACTATCATTGCTGGCGCTTTCATCTGTGTTGCTGGGACTTATGTGTCGATAAAGGTCAGTGTTCGCGTCTTCCCATCTGACACTCGTCTCAGTGATCAATGATAGCTCATCGTCGGAGCATATGCCAATGGACAAGTTGGTAGACCCTTCGTTTGCTAGGGGGGAAATACCGTGACATGGTGGGGTAATGTGTAGTCCATATCAAGCACGTTAAACTGTAACATTAAGACCTTTCTTCCAAGGACAGTCAGATTATAGGTGTGGGTCTGGTAGTCTAACTAGTGATGACCAGGACCACTACTAGTCCATGCACAGATGCCCTGCTCTAATTTGCAAATGCGCTCGTTGCCGACCTTCGGCTGGGACTCTGGGATCTTCATATCAGTGATATATTACGTAGGTTTTAGCTGCGTTACGGGAATGATAGAACGTTGAGGAGATGATCTCCGGGTTCCAGCTGCAGCAGGTTGAGTTAAGCCAGCAATGTGTTCTGATGGTCTATAGGTACCTTGTCCAGTGACGACGAAAGTGGAACGTCTAGATGGCAGTAAGGGTCGACGTCACGGTATCATGTGAAACTTCGGATCTGCATTGGATACTTGTATACGTGTGTGCGATGGTAATTGAAACACGCGTGTCATCATACTAGCCTAATAGATGAGCGCAGCTTTGAAAGCATGCCTGGAGAGTTGACTGTTCCCGACTGCGACTGCCCACGCCTTCCATCCTCTTCCGCTATGACCGTCGTTACTCAACAGCATGAGCTCCCCATATTTGCACGGCCTCCAAGGACGTGGAAGCAGACACTGAATGGGTTCTTCTTCTTCATGCTGTTTATCCCAGGATGTCTCATGGTCCACGCCTTTCAACTTTTGTTTCTACTGCCCTTGAAGCTTTTCTCTTCAAGTCCATGGGCCTGGAAGCTATATGACGAGGGGATACGATATACGAAAGGCGCATTTGCGACACTCATGAGTGAGTAACGATTCATAATGCCGACGATACACTGCGTGACGACTGTTATGTCCTGCTAGATTTGATGAACCAATGGTTCGCCCCCACACGGCTTTCTATCACATTCGAGCGGGAAGGACAAGGGAAATTCACAGAGGAGGAGATTAGACATATCGTCGAACGCGATGCGTCTGGCAGGATAGTAGCGTTACGTCTACCGTCTAAGACTGTTGTTATCGCGAACCATCAGGTGCGTGATGACCCTGATCGTGTAGCGTGCGCTGATTCGTTTTCAGGTCTACTCTGACTGGTGGTATGTCTGGTGCCTCACCTACTTTATGGGAACACACAGGGATGTCTTCATTGTACTGAAGAACAGCTTGAAATGGGTTCCTCTCATTGGACCAGTACGTGGCTTCCGCGAATCTGGAGCTTTTCGCTAAATAACAAGGAAGGCAATGCAAATATATAGATTCATCTTTCTTGCGCGTTCATGGGCCTCTGATAGAATACAGTTATCATCGAAACTCGCAAAGCTTGGCCGACAAGCAGAACAAGAAGACAAGCCATTCACCTTTATCCTCTTTCCAGAGGGTACTCTTGTGAGTAAAGGTACACGCCCTGTCAGCAGGAAATACGCAGACAAGCTAGGTGTTGTGCGTTTCTACAACCATTCTGAATGAAGTCGATGATGACCATGTTTTCTATAGCCTGATCCATTAAATATCCTGCTGCCTCGGTCGACGGGGCTTCATTATAGTCTTCGCTCACTTGCGCCGCGCATGCCATCTTTGAAATTGATTGACATTACCATGATATATCCAGGTACGTTCGTAGATGAGACAATATTCTGCTAAACATCGTTATATTCTGTTGTTAGGTATACCGCCAAAGGGATATGGACAATCTTTCTACACGCTCCGCTCAATATTCTGCGACCGCGTACCTCCACCTATGGTGCACATGCATCTAAGAATATTTGACGTCGCAAAGGATGTTCCCATAGGAGACATCTCTGGGACGAATCCCGCAGTGACTCCCAACGGATCTAATCACGAGCCTCTTGAAGTAGACTTCCCAGATCAGGAGAAAGCTATCTTTGATGGATGGCTTAGGAAGTTGTGGATGGACAAGGATGAATTTATCACGAAGTTCCACCAAGCAGATCGCTTCCCCTCTCATCACGGCGCTATCGAGATCCCATTGGAACTCAGGAGCAAGCGGGAGATAGCAGATGCTTTCTGTTTTCTTGCTCCTGCGGTAGCAGGTGTATTGTGGTCGAGGTTAGCGCAGGCTCTTTTATGACGGGTTGTTGTAATTCTGGGAGTGTTTCATGTAATAGTATATTCTGCTGGATAATGATGTAAGCAATTAAGCATATGTATGTGCTTTATGATTGTAGTTGCTGCGAGCGTTGTCCCTCTATGGTCTTAATGATGTATAAACTGGTATCCATAAAGCGGTCCACGCAGTTCAAGAGACAGCTCTCCTCGCCACGAGAGAAGCGAGACCCTGGAGTGCCGGTGACACATCTGGATGAGGAAGTCAATGAAGCTTGATGGATGTGCAAGAGGGAGACTGACTTGTCCCAACACATGCTTGTGAGGGTGTGCACGGTAGAGTTGACGCGAGCTTGGGCTTGTTCTCGCTCAAAGAACGTAGCAAGCTCTTTCTGTGAGGACTGTGTAAGAAGAAATGGTAGATACTTGAGTATGTGGACACGTACTTGTGTAGCCTCGTCGAACTTGAGGTTGTCCATGGTTGTATGAAATGAAGAAGGAAAAGCTGAATCAGATTTGGAAGTGTATTCTCACATTTGATTCCGCGAAGGTTGGTGCGATCGGCAAAACCAATGAATTCAATGTTCTGTTCGTTCCAATGCTAGCGCTCAGCTGAGCTGGTTGGCAAGAGGATCATATATGTTCGTCGCAACCGTTCAGGATTGTTTAAGCGCTTGATCAGTATTGGACCTTTCTGTCAAGTCGGAACAGGCGCTCATCGATGCATAGGTTGGCCCCGTGGCACTACACGTGAGATTCTGTCAATTAAGCATACTTGCAATACAAAATGGTCATCATGAATAGGAAAGATTGCTGCCTCATGTTCCCTTTCATAAGTAGCCCATCCATCCATCCTCTCCTCTCCTCTCCTCTCCCATACTACCATGGCTTCATCTTCCGACTACCATCTCCAGCCCGTCGCTAACTGGTCAAACGAACCTGCTCCTCTGTATGTTTCCTGACCTAGCTCATCGTTCAAACTTTCTTGACGTCCTCCTCTCCATTTCTCAGCGTGGGATACCTTAGTCGTAAAGCTCTCCCCATAAAGCGCAACGACGCAGAACCTCTCACTCGAGACGACGTTCAGTTCGATCTCCTTCACCATATATTCAACGACAGACACAAAGTTTTCACCCCCCAAGCACCAAGCGAGGACTCCAAGGTCCACTTCTGCGATCTCTATGTCAATGCATTGTACATGTCCCCCAAGTGCTCCAAAGTCCTCAAGGACAAGATGGCTGAAACACCTGCCTTTGCCGTTGAGCTTGCCAAAATTTCTCTCCTGACAAATGTGGGGCGCATTAATACCACCATGGCATGTAAGTCTACATCGCGCTTCGTTCCTTAAATGTGCTCACAATAAAGCTAGTCTTTCCAGAAATGAAGACGGCTTTACGGACTTATCATCCAGTACCCTCGCTTCAAAAGACTGATGGTAATGCCCAGGATGCCCCGCGGATCAAGAATTGTCTCAAGGCTGCTTTACTCCCATCTGAGCTTAAGAATATGCCTCCGTCTACCCCGGAAGAAATATTGCAGAAGAGCGTACGCGAATTCATCACCATGGTTCCTCGTGCAGCAGCTCATCTCCATACCGCCAGAGGGCTCGTCAACTTCCATCTACAAGTATTGTGAATCTAATATTTGTTCTCGCAAACCACGCGGCCGTAAGGTTTTCATTCGAGTATAGTCTCCTCTTACTGACTGCTCATCAGCCGCTTGCAAGTACTCACTTCGATCCGCCTGTCAACTTCCTGGATCTTTTTTTACCCATCAACATAGCTTCAGCTGACCGCGCGCGCGCGTTTCTATGGCTCATATTTCATTATTTGGAGGGTCCTGATCAACCAAACCCGTATGACGACGACTACTCCCGTCAACATCCCGGCAAGGTTCCTTGGCTGCATCGTCTCACGGAAGAAGAAATAGCACAAGAAAATGTGGACACACCAGATGAAATCGAATGGGGCAGGGCGATGTCAGCACAAAGAAACCTCTTCCTGCAGAAACTCGTCCACTCTATCGAAAAAGAGAAAAAGGGCAAGGCCGCAACGTCTGCGTCTGCGTCTAAAAGTGCGACTATTTGTCAATCGCTGATTTAGTCATTTGTTAACTATTTGTTCAGCGATTGAGCCCTCTTCTGGTCGTTCGAGACCTTTCAGGTCTCAACAAGAAGGTACCAGGGACAAACCTTACATCCATTATCTCCCCCCCGACCGCGCACCGCAGATTACCCATTCTGGTTTGTCCTTCTTTCTTTTTGCTTCTGGGTACTTCGTTCTCATGTCCGTTCAGTAAGCGACGACCAAAGACTTAGCTACAGCAGTACTCGTGGACCTCACAGAAATATGCTGCAACGTGGGTTTCGAATAGTATTCCATGCATACTGATGTGAAGAAGCATCACTAGATGCGTGGCAGGTTGTCACTTCTACCGATCCCCTGGCAGACTCGGATGAAGAACTGCATGATGAACATGTTAGACTGGATTACAGTGAGCGATACTTGGTCATCAGCAGTCATGGACTCGATATACTGACGTGTTGCTTAGGTCGACGTGTAGACGTCATTGCTCGATTGCGTGGGCAACCCCCGTCACCGCCTCCAGATCTAGTGCCACCGAGCAGCAGCACTAGTTCATACCCACCATCCAGTCTCTCTGATACCCGTGAACACCGGTGGCGAATGGTGGAATCCTGGAAATAGTTCGCAGTCACAGGTCCCATGGATAAAAGGAGGTAATCGAGTACCAGTCCTTGTGTACATGCCCATAGGGGAACACTCCCTTTGAAAAGTTGTATTCGTACTAGTAAGAACTACTAATGGCAACACGTAAATGACTGTGTGAGAGCGTGGGCAGTAGTGTCAGAGGAGTGCACGTGTATCAGGCGGGTTCGCAATCGCGCAACGCGGTGCGGCAAGAAGTAAAAGAAGCAGCGGATTTGTGTCCAAGCAGTAACGCAACCCTGTGTCATCTAGACGTATGCGGCAGCGTTTCTAAACTAAGGAGAAGACAAGGTCCAAGAAGTTGTCCATGGAAGTAACTGCACGGCAGTACCACGATAGTGTCCAAAATGTCCAAGTGTTCAGAAACTCCCAGGCAATGACAAGTTTGGATGCTCGAAGCCAGAGCGATTCCTTACTTGCATTTCTGCTGGAGCGCTATGTCTTTTTGACCTAATGTGATTGTCTGCGAAACCTGGGAGAGGAGGGGAGGTGCGACGTTTGATGGTGGTCATCATTTCACGAGCAGTGTTGGCTCGGCCAAGGGAATGCATATCGGATTCAGTGATCGCGCACCTCGCATTACTGCGAGGACGGGGGCTGGTTATCTCGATGCTCGGGCAACAAGAATGACTGGGCACTGCGCTTAGCCGCATATGGGAAAGAGAGTCGCTACTCTGACGGCGCCTTATGGGCATATGCAGTCTGCCGATGTTGATATCGGATTTCGTATCCGAGACAGACCGTGTGGTCGATGGGTTCTTGTTGCTCCTTAGGAACACGGGTAGACGGGGTGTTGTGAAGATAGGGTCATTGACGATATGTGAGGGAGGATGAAGTGGTCCAACGTGGGCAATGATCTCTTCCAGTGATGGAAGTCTGCGTCTACCCAACTTCAGGTCTGTCTTGAGCTTGCTGACGGGTTGACGACAATCCACCTTTTCGAACCAGGTGCGGCACCTGGCGAAGTCTTGTCCAATCAAACCATCATGCTCCTCGGCAGATGAGTAGAGCATCGACGGCGGTGACTCGAGGCCGAGTGATGGGAGTGTGCATTGATTAATGGCAGGAAACTCAACAGGGGTCTTGCAATGAGTTGAAGACGGAGGTTCGTGAATTCTTGACAGGAAGAATGCACGACGCTCAACTAAAAATAAGGGCATAACGAAATGAGATCATAATCATAGTTCATGACACCGATCTATTTGACTCACGTTGCTTATTTCTCTGGTTCTTAATAGCAAGTTCCCTGCGCAGATCCAGGACCTTTCTGGAACCAAGCGCAGCTCTCTTGTCACGCGACACTTTGAGAAGTTGATCGAACTGATCACCGTGAAGCCCTCTGGGAGGAGGACAGTCTGCGGGACGAAGAGGAGACGAGTGCCTGGGAGATATGGCTGGAAAGTAACATTGAGGACTCAGCAACCTCGGGCGGTACCCGCTATCATCCTGGTCTAAATCTGCGGAGAGGAACGGGGAGTACGGCTCTGGATATACCTTGACTGGCGAAGCTGGCGAGATGCGTATGAGAGGAATGGAGGTGCCGATGGCGGATAGCATGATTTGGGTGGGCGACCGGCGCTAGCTGCAAAAGAATGAAAGAATGAAAAGAATGAAAAGCTGTCGGGTGGACGTGGATGAAATAAAGGGATCAGGAAAGGTGGCAAACACGAGGAGTTTCACCGGGGGTACCACGCTCGAGTCCGCACAGCGGTTATTAAGTATACATAAAATGGAGTTTAGAAGAACATTGTAGCTTGCTCTTGTGAGACACCATACTTTTGGTTCATCCCATCATCCAAATTTCACTTGGTTCGGTTGTATGGTACTCGCGACTCGACAACGCTGTATCCTACCAACAGACATGAAAGCACTGCTTTTCCATGCCAGCTGGCTTACTTCCCAACGCCAAGCACTTCTTTGAGCAAACTGGTAACCGATGATCCTCATGGTTTCTACCTTGTTAAGTACAAGGGCTAGTACCTTCTACTGCAATGATAACGAGTGGGCGAGGTCATGTTTCATCAGCCTGAACCTCAATTTTCAACGCAACCGATCACAAGCCTTCCGCCTCCACTGCCTCTCTTTGCTTCTCCTTGAACAACTTCTCCGCGTCAGTCCAGACCTTCGCGGTACTTCGTCGGGGAAGCTCCAAGAGTGATGGCAATAAATCATTGCTAAACTGTTCAGACGCCTCACGGGGCAACAGCGTTGGTAGGTGATCAATGGAGATCACCGACAGCAATGGTAAATCAGGGCTGACGCGCAAATCAAGACATGAGCTTAGTTTAGGCAATGTGCCCAAGATACGCACCTGAGATCAACAGGAACAGCTGGTTCGGAGAATGTGGTGTTTATGCTGTAGATTGGGATGGGGTTGAATGGGTTCGTCGTGTCGCAACTGACATCCACAACTACCGACAGCTGTCGATCTTGGCCGACAGCGGTAATTTGGTCATTGGCCAAGAAAGGCGGGATCGAAGACGACAAGTAGATGCAATTTACGAAGATATCCACGTCGAGGATTTCCTGGAATGGGCCACCTTTGGCAGTCTCAGCCATATCCCACTTTACTATGTCATCCCTGCGAAGGTTGTGTCAAGATATATAATGCCTAGCTTCGCGCAATGACTTACTCAGCCAGACCGATCTTGCGGAAGAGATCCACAGCTCCGCGCCCGCATCGTCCGAGGGCACCGATTACAAGAGCTTTGACGCCATTGGCACTGCCGCCGAGTGTGTTCTTGACACCTTCAATCATAGCAGTCTCATTCGCATAAGGTTCCAAAAGACCCAACTTCTTTCCTGATCGTTGTGCAGCCAAAGCAAGTGCACCAGCGGCAGCACCAGCAAAGCCAGCGTGGTATCCGAATGCAGCAACACGTCGACCCGTAGCATCGGTGAGGAACTCCAGGTCATAGAGCGTACCTCCTCCCTTGTAAAAGCGAGCCAGCACGGATGACCATCCTGCTTGACGCTTGTAACAGTGGGCAAACTGAATGTGTGTATGGGGTATGGGATCTTGCGATTCTGGGAGCTCCTTCAGTCCGATGATAGGGACATCTGTAGGGGCCGTGGGCCATGAGTTGTGTTCTACCAGCGTACACCCGACACTATGACGCGTGTTTAGCGGATGTCAACGGCTATATTATTTGCACATACGCCTCGAATTCAGCGTCATCGAAAATCCGTTGTTCATCGCGTTCGACACTGATTTGGAAGCCAGCATCAATCAGCTTCTTCGCCGTGGTGGGCGTGAGGGCTGAGCGACGCTCAAACTCTTTTTTCTCGCAGCGAAGCCAGAGGCGTTGGGTAGACATTATTGTTGTGATTTGCACTTGTGGTTTGTTCGGATGGATGTATCTTTAATAACTAGTAACCTAGTCAAAGCTAGTCAAAGTGACTCGAGACTCGGAGTCAAAAGAAGTTTAATCTTAAAGATAAGATGAAGATTTTACGGTCACATGACTTGACGTGTCGTGAAACGCGTCACTGACGAAGACAAGGACTAGCGGAAAATTCCTTCAATACAAACTACACCTACATGCATGGTCATGGAGACGAGAGGGATTTACAACAGCAGAATTTGCACATTCCAGTCCTTCAGTCGAGCACTCTGGGTCAGCGACAGAGCAAGTCTGAATTTTATCATATGCATACTCAGCATAATGCACATGCTGGGCTACCGTACGTTAGATTCTACTGACCTGTCAGCTGGAGGAATCGGCCAAGCGCGGGCCAAATATTTGGGGAAACACCTGTCTCACACCTGAGGTATGTCTTAACAATCTCGCTCAAGGATTATTTCTGTAACTCCACCGGCTTTGCGCTGACCGCTTTCATTCTCCCACCAGGGCCACCAGCCGCGCGCAAAGCGACTGTACATTGCATTGGCTTCGCACACACACAAAATTTCAGGCTGTAAAATTAAGAATGTCAATGGAAACGGTGCGCCCTGACACGCAAATATTACATGCCAATAGATGATATTATGAAAGCTTGGATCAACTCCAGCTGCTAGTAGGCTACTAATTTAAATAGAGATTGTACAGGACACACCGTAATTTTCCCAAGAAACTGAGATTAAATTTTTTGAACTTACTCCCAGCAATGAAGCATTCCAAATTCCAAGAGTCCCCGTTGCAACGTATTCTCCGTGTCTGGGTCAGAATTGCCCATACATCTTTGCTGCAGCCTCCAACTTTCCCCCCTCGAACTTTCTATGCCGTTCGACAACCCTCCCCGCCGGAACGTAGGGGTCGCCTCGAATAAGGCCTTCCATCGTCTCTTTCGTGTATTCTTCGAGCGTAAGCCAGTAACGAGCCAGTCCTTCTGTTGAGCCTTCGACTAACACGCAGGTCAAGAGATGGTAGAGACGAAAAGCTATAAGAGAACTCACGGTCGTGCAACTCCGACTCGACGAGTCTTCGGGGCAATGAGATCGATAACAAGGAAACAAATAGTGTCACTCACGGAGGAATAATCTCGACCACATGGACATTTTTCCTCTTCAGCTGAACAGCGAGTGAGATACTCAAGCTGTGGATGGCAGCTTTCGTCGCGCAGTAGCCAGGGACTCCAGCGGCAGGAACAATTGACAATCCTGAGGAAACCGTGTAGAGGAAAGTCGGACGGCCTTGCTCCTGCACAAAAGTCAGAGGAATGAAATGAAGGTAAAAATGCTCATACCCCAAGCTTAATCAGGTGAGGCAGAAAGAAGGTTATCATCCTGACGATTGAGGTATAATTGGTGGTGAGTTCACGCTCGAGAGCTGACCGAAACAAAACACAATGAGTATGTCATAGGTGCACAGTGGGAGAGACCTACAGTCGAGATCAATGGTTTCTGGTCTGGTGAAGTTGAAGCCACGTTGGATGCCGCTAGAGAACAAGACAGCGTCAAGCTGCACAACCGGTCAACGCTAGTTTGTGGGTAATGAGGCTAGGGGCACATACGTCTGGGTAAGTGTTGACGATCTCCTCAATAGAAGACTTGAGAGCGTTGCGCTCTAAAAGAACGTCAAGAGTAACACTCTTGAGTCGTCCTGTGGCATGATGGGAAGCAACCAGTTCTTCGAGCCTTTCCTTGCGGCGACCGCAGACGATGACGGTTGGCTTAGAAGGGAGATCCAAAATTGCAAGGGCAAGGGCACGACCTATCCCTCCAGTGGATCCAATGACGAGGACGCACTTACAATCGCTGATGCTGGGCATGATGGAAGAGTGAGTTTGTTATAGTAGCTGGGGAGAGGGGCGCTGACCTTTATAGTACCTACGTGATCAATCATCAGCATCTGTTGTCATCATAGCCACTCTTCAGGCCCAGTGAAAACTGGTTATGTTGGGATGAGCCTCGATAGGTTGAGATGTGTCATTCAGGTGGGACACATATAGGAACACATACGAGTCCACAGCGCCCCGTACTCGGACAGTGTTAATAAGACGGGGCAATGTCCTATATGTTACCATGTGTGTACTTTTGCATCGAGCACATCTAAGCACATCCGCTAGCAGTCCTGCTACCTTTGCACATATGCTCAAATAGTGTCACATATGTCTCGAAGTTGTCATGCAGTAACTGGTATTATTTGCAGCCACTACAGGAATAGGGTATAGAAAAGTGCAAAAACACATCGAAAAGCAGCTTAAGTCCATTTGTCGGTAGTGACCTAATAGATGATGGTTTAGAAAGTCCATCGAGAGAATCAAGGACTTACGAGTGCAGCTGGTTCCTCGTCATATCCATATCAGTCAGTGTCATGGATATATGCGCATGAAAATGACAGCCTCGTACTATCCAAGGACAGTACTAGTATGATTCCCGTGATACAGACTCAACATCATGGCGGTCATCCACTGTTCTAAACTCATATGGTCAGCATGGTCACACCTTCAGATAAACGACACATGAGAAACTCGCAAGGTGGAACTAGCGGAGGCGAGCGGCGGGACCTTCAACATGGAGGTGGGAAGATGGTGGGGAGGAAGAAAGGTGGGGCAGCAGAAATTCGGCCCCAACAATTTATATATGGCTTTGGGGTGCTACGAGCTCGAGGCAGGTAACATATTGCAATGTTAGCGATACAATGTTCGCACGTATGATGCGATGTCGATGCGAAGCAATGCGATGTGCGTGCGTGCGATGCGATGTCGATGCGAAGCAATGCAATGTTAGTGCGTGTGATGCAATACGACGTCGTTTTGCAAAACGTAACTAAACTTCTCATGATTCAGCAGATTCTGACATAGTACAAATAAGGTAACTAACTTCTCAGCACCTGTGGTCCTCTCCCGTCACAACCAGTTCTTACTGGGCTTCAGGAACTTCAACTGTCTGTAGCAAGGAATGACGCATTGATACGATTGATCGGACCTGCATTGCCACCTTGAACGCGTATGCATCATGGTGCTTGGTTCATGATTGCTCTTGAGTGTACAGTCCTGGACCCGATGAGGTACCACTGGCAGGTATAACGGATAGTTAATGTGTGATCGGCCCGCTCTTCATGCATCATGTTTGTCTTTATTATTATTTGTTCCCTCTCGCCACCGTGTTGTCGCTCCTCCGTTTTTTGCTCTTCCTGTTCTCGAGCTCGTCGTCATGACTGCCTTCTCGTCTTTGAATCCTATCTCCAATTTTACGATCGCACTGCCCATTTCGCTTGCTGTATCTGACCACCAACTTGTCGATGATGGTGTGTCAGTTGTGTGATCGTGTGTCCACCTGTCTCTTGCGCAGTCTTTTTGAGTATCATGGAGTATCACGGGCACGATTCACCGCTGCTCAACAGTTTCCCACTGGAGTTTTCCTGCTAGTATCTGCTTCCACCGTTGGCCATGTCATCAATCATTTATCCAGGTTGACGCGGGATAATTGTATGGAGTTGTCTCGTCTTCACCCCAATCAAATTCACGTTGCTGTCTCGTGTCCATTTGGACTTCATTGTGCAATGCAGCACTCCTTTCGCGAAGGTCAGTGGTGCTGCTCAAACTGGAGCGGGAGACGAGTATTCATCTCGTCGTTCATGTGTTTCCAGGTTTGGTGTCATTGAGGACTCGGAGGCCGATCTTGCATCTCCGTCTGTCTGCACTCAGCAGGAGAAACATGCGACAACCTTGGACTGGCAAACATCCATGTCTGTTGAGGCTCAAAGGAGAGGTGTGCAATGCAGATTCTCAGCCGCAAGCGTGAATTTCCAAAAACGCGACTTACAAGTTACAACGTCAGAATTAAAGCATCGCGGCGTGCGACACGCGCAACGCTCTTCAGTACACGAGCGATTCTTTAGCAATTGCTCATGGCTGATGTACACGGAGGCGATGAAAGTGATTACGCAGGATGCTCGCCATCACAATAGAGTGATGCAGGTCTCCAGTTTGACTGCACAACCGACTGCACTGCCATCTGTGCGATCATCCTTGAATTCTGTTGCGCGTCGATTGCTGAGTCAAGGTGCTTACTCAAAAAACTGACAAAAAAAAGTTAAAATTAGCACCTCGCTGATCCCGAGTCCGACGTCGACCTCAATACTTGAAGTACGACTGGGCCAGGACGGTAAGCAAGTCCCTACAATCCCGAGTCAAATTTGGCTTAACTTTCACATACGAAGCGTGATTGCGAGCATGGCTTCCAACATTAACGGGCCTGCCATAAAAATGCCTCGTCAAGTGTCTCGCGACGCGTTCTCCACATCACGGATCCAGTCTCGGTATGTTCTAATGTCATGAACATGTCAATTCATGTGAACATACCGTGAGGCGCGGTATCACTTCGTCAGCCTCCGCAGTAACTCTTAGGAGGCCTCCCCTGGTATCCCAGGTATCCCCCAGGTACCATCTCACATCAAGAGAGCAGTATCGACTCTGATCATAGCCACCACCTATGCGACAGTACAGGAGGTAGAGTATAAAAGCTGGTATGTTCATCGACAAGAGCAGTCTAGAATCCCAACCAACCCTCTTACCAGAACAACATGTCTGAACAACTCTTCAAGTCTTTTGCTATCATCGGCGCGGGCCCCAACACCGGCATCCATATCGTAAAGGTAACTTTTATCATAATATTCTTACAGTTGTCGTCCTTAACAATCTCTATCAGGCCTTCCTTGCTATTGGCAAACCACTTCTCGTCATCGCCCGCCCAACCTCCACGAACGTCGCTGCCCTCCCCACCGACGATCCTAACCTAAAGCTTGTACGCGCAGACTACACATCTGCATCTGAGATCTCCACAGTGCTCCGCGAGCACAAAGTAGACGTCCTCATCTCGACCGTCACACTCGTTTTCGGAGGCGTAGTCGGCCAGAACATTCTCGCCGACGCTGCCAAGGAAGCAGGCGTGAGGCTCTTTGTCCCCAGCGAATTCGGTATCAAACCGCAATTGGCCAAAGGCGGTTTAGCTTTCCAAAAGACTGACTTTGCAGGCAAGTGATAATGGTAGCGCGTCGTAGTGTCGACTTACCCCTCCGTTCACAGCCTATGCAAAATCAATCGGACTCCCAACTCTCCGCGTCTTCGTGAGTAGCCATTTTTCCGATATCGCCTTCAACAAGCACTAAACACGATACACCGATCACAGAATGGATTGTTCTACGAATTCGTACCCTGGCTCACTGCGCTCGCCGACACCGGCAAGTTCCACATCGTGAACAAGGGAGAAACGAAAGGGTCCTTCACTGCAGTATCAGACGTCGCAGGATACGTCGCTCACATCCTTACTACTCAACCTCCATCTCGTCTACTTGACGCCGAAATTCAAATCGAGGGACAACGCGCAACGCTCTCAGAGATCGGTGCATTGTATAAAGCCAGTGCACCTGTGGTATATTGCGATGCCCTTCCTACGGAAGGTGTGGTGAACGCGCACTTCAGGACGTTCTTCCAGAAGCATATTGGGGTCGGGGGAGGAAGTTGTGGGTGGAACCCAGTGACGGAGTCGGACGACCCGGAATCGGCTAGCAGGGACAACTCCTTGTGGGAAGGGCACCACTGGTTGACTGTTGGGGAGACCCTTGGACTTTAATTGGATCCACGTAGAATTTCCGGACTCGTAGCATGGGACTCCGTAGCTTACTCCCAGCATTAATGTTTTCCTACCAGCAGTTAACTTATCACTAGATCATGCACGAATGAAGATATTACTATCATTGTTCCTTCTTACGGAATGACATGGCTCTGGTCAGCATAAAATCACGATGTCAAGTTTAAGTTGTTTCGTATGGTACATGCGTGGGTCAGAGTGGAACACCAAAGGGGCTCGGGTGGAGCGCGCACATGGAATCGACGCGAATTGGTTCCGCGGGATTAAACGCCTGGTCCTTACATTGTGGTCCTTACATATGGTAGATAACAAAGAGAATTAGGCACTTCGCCATGCTCCACTTCGTAGAAAACTCTCCGACAAGGCCAGAATGCTGAAACAACAGCTCGCTGAATCGCAGAAAGCTGACACTATCACAGAGAATAGGGGGGAAACAACTCACTCCGGAGAAGACTCGTGCTGCATTTGCAGAATCAGAGGAAAGGACCCAGCGCGCCTCCGCAAACAGTTGTCTTAAACGCCAGAAAATCAGCCGCACCAAACACAACGTGTCAAGTTACAGACTTCAGGGGAGATGCTGCACAGAAATCTGGGGACCTTGCTGTGGCTCAAAGCAAGGCAAGCTGGCGGAGAATGTCTCTTCGATATTGCAGCTCAAGTGGTTGTTGAATGGCGAGGTGTCAAGACTGCAGAGAAGTGGCGTACATATTGGACCCTTCTTGGAAAACAGCTGCTATCGAGCCGTTAGAGGGTTCGTGCATTAAAAATGCAGTTGCGCAAGGTAGCATTGGTTGGATTCGCGAACGAAGCATGAGCCAGCAACATCATGATTTTCCTTGAAAAGGTGGAAGGCAGGTGAACTGGGGAGATCAATTCGTTGTTCGCAGGGCTTGCTTGTTAAATACAAATATGAAGCGATACCTTCATGACTGTGGCTCTGTATGTCATTGATGATTGAGAAGCATACCGCAAGCGTTCTGAATTGGGTATGATTTGCTTCTCACGGTACTTAAACTGGTTGGTTCAATGGTCGCCACTTCACTCGACTATATTCGATTCTGACTGAAGCAATCAGCAGTTGAATCTTGCTTTGCTTTCCGCGTGGAACCGCTCAGTGAGATGCAGGATCATGCACATGTGCTAAGAAGCTCGCAGTATACCAGAATGATCGATGATCAACGGGGTTCTGGTCCAGCGCCACAGCGAGGATCAGTTATCGATGTAATCAGTCGCATGGGGCGCCTTGAGGCTACCTCTTAAAAGCTATCGAACTACGTCCGCGATCCCTCCAACCCACCCTCTGATCCCTGCATACACGATGCTCAACAAAATGCCCATGCCCACCGCTGCAGACATCACTCGCATGACCTACGACGGGGCAGAGCAGCTTCGGCGTGAGCAGCGTCCAGGAGGAGACCCTAGTAAATTGGACTTCGGGACAGTACCGACCTGCTATAATTGCGATATACCTATCCTGGGTCGTAAAGTATGTCCAAATAGCTGCGTTCTAGCCCATGATTGACTTCGAGTCATTAGCCTTTGATCTGCTCGGGTTGTAGATCCGCTGTATTCTGCTCAAAGAATGTCAATTCGCGTCTTCTTTGAATATCTACGCACTCGCTTAACTTCGACTTTCCAGTGCCATACCGCAAACTGGAAAGCAGGGAGGTCGGGAACCCAAGGTCACAAATTACTCTGCGCAAAGAATAAGGTACGAATGATCAGTGCTTGCCTGTTTATCCGCATTGTTTGACATGTTTCTATTTCAGATTCATATGGAGAAGGTCCCACAAGTGCAAGCCCTTCTGAAGCAATTTCCTTGGGGCCGCATCGAGACGGATGGCACCTTTGCCGAGCCTCTCGTGCGCGCCTATCACAATGTCTTGGGTGCTCAGGGCTTCGGCTACTGGTGTACTCCTGGAGGCACCAGCGCGCACCTCCAACATCCAAGTGGTCCTTCCGGTCCTTCTGGAGGGCTTCGCGTCGACGATGCAAAGGGATATGAACACGGCTACATGCTGCTGTCAGATAAACTGTTGACGGATGAGACCGGCTGGAAGCTGGAGAAGCGTTTAATCCCCCGATTGGTGTTTGAGCTTGGCACGGAGCCTGAGCTTGCTTCCAAGACGGATGTTGTGGACTGGGACTCATGGTACAGGTGGCGCAATCTTCCCAAGGAGTCACCAGCCGCCTTGTTGTTGCACTACCCTCTCACTGTATACCAGCTTTTGGTGAATGTGCTCCACGTCACAGGGCCAAAGAGAAATTCCCCGGAGAGTCGTCAGGCGCTTAACGTGCATTATATCGGAGCCGAAGTTGAATTGAACATGCTTCCCCTGTATGTGGAAGCTTTCAGCGGCTAATTTCATGCTGATGATGATCACGATAGATTCTCTGAATTAGCCTTGCTGCTTCCTTACACAGATATCAAGATGATTTTCTTCGGTGTCGCAGTCCACTCTATCGTTAATAAGGCGAAGAAGAATAGCATAGTTATGAAGGCGAAACAGAACGAGCCAGTTTACACGTACACCAGCCCTGCGTCTTGCGGAGCCAGCACCTTGTCTATTTTTCTTCATGGAGATCATGAAAGTTGGGACCCGCGACTTCCCTTCCTCCTCAACAGCAAACCAGACGCCATCGTCGGCCCGAATGCTGGGCTCACCAGCTATCCAGCGTGGCAGTTCGTCATCTTGTGTTGTCACTCTGACAATACACCTTTTGCCGTCACCGAATACGCAGAACAGTCTGCAGAACTGCAAAGAGAAGCAATCCCTCAGATCATTGCCCATGCCCTCCCTCGTTTACACTCAGCAGGCATGAATGGTTCGGAGCTTCACAATCTCACGCGGCCCAGAGAATACCCCATCGCATTTAATCCTTTCCAGCGTCCTGGCCAGAGAAACTTGGGCTCGGTGCGATTGCCGAACGTGCCGAACGGATTTACGATGAGAGTAGTCGGTAACGACCAGCAGGAGATGGTCCACGCCGTCTCCGCTGGCGTCCCTGCACCGGCTTCGGACTTGAGTGAGCTGCTCCAGAAGTCGGAGCAGTTGTCACTGAACCGTTTGGACTGAGTATCTTGGTATTCATGCATGTCTCCGTGTTCGAGATGAGTCCAAGGACGAACATTACGTTGAGAAGGCGATACTGGCCATCATGCATCTTTTCCAGAGAATATGTAGCGCCTGGTTTATACGTCCCTGACTACCTGTACGATAGCTGATGAGTGCAATGATAGGTGTATCGGGCCACTTTGGCACGCACGCTGAGCTTTTCTAGAGGACGGAATGCATAAAAAAAGTCATGCTGGCAGAGTTTGGATCAACCTCAGCTTCTACTTACATAGCATCATATCTACCGTTCATGACGCAACGTAGTTTTCCCAAGAAACTGGGGTTCAATCGTTTGAACTTACTCCCAGCACCAGAGCATTCCAAAATCCAAGAGAAGATCAATGGCCATTATTATACATTTACGAGTCTGTTTGCTGAGGGAAACCACGTTCCGATATGTTCTCTATGTCTGAGTCATTGCCTTCATTTGCCCATACATCTTCGTTGCGGCCTCCAACTTCCCTTCCTCGAACTTTTTGTGCTGTTCGACAACCATCCCCGCTGGGACATACGGGTCGCCTCGGACAAGGCCCTCCATCGTCACTTTCGTGTATTCTTCGAGCGAAAGCCAGAAATTGGACAGACGTTGCGTTGTGCCCTCGACTAACGCGCAGGTCAAGAGACAGTAAATACGGAAAACTGGAAGGGAACTCACAGTCGTGCAACTCCGATTCGACGAGTCTTCGCGGCAATGAGATCGTTAACAAGGAAGAAAATCAGTGTCACTCACGGAGGAATAATCTCGACCACATGGACATTCTTCTCCTTGAGCTGAACAGCGAGCGAGATACTCAAGCTGTGGATGGCAGATTTTGTCGCGCAATAGTCGGCGATTCCAGCGGCAGGAACAATGGACAGTCCTGAGGAAACCGTGTACAAGAACGTTGGACGGCCTTGCTCCTGCACAAGGGTCAGAGAAATGAAGGAAGATAAAAATGCTAATACCCCAAGCTTAATCAAGTGAGGCAGGAAGAAGGTTATCATCCTGACGATTGAGGTATAATTGGTGGCGAGTTCACACTCGAGAGCTGACCGAAACACAATGAGTCGTCATAGGTACACAGTGGAAGATACCTACAGTCGAGATCAACTGTTTCCGGCTTAGTGAAGTCGAAGGCGCGTTGAATGCCGCTAGAGAACAAGACAGCGTCAAGCTGCACAGCCTGTCAACACTGAATTGTGGGGGATAATGCTAGGGGCACATACGTCTGGGTAAGTGTTGACGATCTCTTCGATAGAAGACTTGAGAGCGTTGCGCTCTGAAAGAACGTCAAGAGTAACACTCTTGAGTCGTCCTGTGGCATTGTGGGAAGCAACCAGTTCGTCGAGCCTTTCCTTGCGGCGACCGCAGACGATGACGGTTGGCTTAGAAGGAAGATCCAAGATTGCAAGGGCAAGGGCACGACCTATTCCTGCAGTGGATCCAATGACAAGGATGCATTTAGAATCGCTGATGCTGGGCATGATGGAATAGCAAGTTTGTGGTAGTAAGTGCTGAGCTGGGAAAAGGGGATGTATGAAGGCCAGCGGCTGACCTTTATACCTAGTACGATCATCCATTCAACCCGAAGCTTGAAGTTCGACGTCGACGTCATCATAGCCACGACACAAAGCTATTGGACGCGTAAGAATCATCTTCAGGATTTTCAACTGTGTAACAAGGAATGGTTGTTGATACGATGGATCGGATCTGCTCTGCCGTCTGATACGTGTAGGTCCATTCACACTTGTGTATGCTCGGCTCTGGAGCGGCTGTTCGCCTGGCTTGATATGCATAGAGTGGTTATGTACCTGCTTACGTTGGTTGGTTCCTCTGTATTAAAAATTTCAACGGCATGGTTTGGCATCAGCATGAAATAACGCATTTCTAACTGACCGTTAACTGCGCGCTGTCCACGTGAGGAACGTGCAAGATTTGTATTAGACATAGTTTGTAATACCACATTCATAGGTTCTACCAAGTTGCAATTGGTAACTTGAATCCGATCATCGTAATGGCGGATGACCGCAGCCTCCCATCCAGGTCCGTTGATGAACAAGAAATCAAGGTGAGCATCGAATTCAGGCTCCAATAATGATTATCTGATCAATTTGAACGGCAGAACTACATTACTGAGGCGGATGAATTAAAGCAGGAGGGCAATGAGTCTTTTCGAGCCAGTAGATGGAGTGAAGCTCTTGTGTCATATAGAACTGCTCTGAGTCGACTACCCAGACGACAGAAGCAGCCTCCTTCAGAGAGTCGATTACAGGACGATACCTTGGATCACGGTGGTGCCCGATCGAGTTCGAGCAAGGTGCCAACGCGAGAGGAGGAACCAGAGTCGGAAAACATCCCCTCCGAGCTCGAGGCAGAATGTGCTAAGGCTCGAGCAGTGTTGAATGCAAACATCGGTGCATGTCTTGTAAAACTTGTATGCAAATCAATGCTCGATGTTCCAAAGATCTCACTGCCTTAATCGATTCAGGGTGATTACAGCGGTGCAGTCGACTCATGTACCCAGTGTAAGTCGTCTGCAAAAACAGGGGAGATCAGATGCCCATACGCGTTTCGCTGTAGCATTGCTCGACGATCCTCACTATATCAAGGCCCTGCAGCGGCGAGCAGCTTCTAACGAACACCTCGATACATGGTCGTCTTTGACACAAGCACAAGAAGGTATGTTCTGCTGCTAGAGGGGGTCTTGACATATCTTAAACTACATCGTCTAGATTACAAGTCACTCCTGGAATTGCTACCCCCTACATCTCCTCAGGTGGCACAGACCAAGCGAAGCCTGCAGCTTCTTGAACCTCGACAACAAGCGGCTCAGAAGAAAGAAATGGCCGAAATGACGGACAAGCTGAAGAGCTTCGGCAATAGTATACTAGGTCTGTCATCGTTTACCTCTGCAAACCGATAAGCCTGAAGTTACATCATCAGGCAACTTTGGATTGTCCACTGACAACTTCAAGTTTGAACCAAATGGGCAAGGTGGCTACTCCATGAACTTTGGTCGATAGTATGGATCCTGAATTTCTTCAATCTGCATCGTGTCACTGTATTAGAAAGCACATTATCAATGTATCACGCCTGTAGACTGTAGACTGTTTTATCCAGTGTGTCAATCTTCGATATAAGTTGCGTTCTTAGAGAAGACGGTAAATCGGTTGAACGGGTAAATCTATGTCATGTAAGTGACACCATCATCGAGTCTGTTGCACGACAAAATTTGGTGCACTTACCCTGACAGCGATCCTGCCTCTTACCAGGGCCATGGATACAGGACCATAATCGCGTGAGTCTGTCGACCAGGCGGCATTGTCACCAGCAACCCAAATGTGCCCCTTGGGGACGAGAACATGCTCGGTCGAAGGAGCTTTAAGCCCAGTCGGGTCGACGCAAACCACATCGCCCGGAAGGCCAATTACCCTCTTGCAGATGACGCGAGAGGGATTAACGGGTGACCTCAAGGTTACGAGCTCCCCTCTTCCAAGTTGACTAGGAAACAACCGATGGGGGAGAATGCTTTCGATGGCCATTTCGCCGCTGTTGTCAAGCGTTGGAAGCATGGAAGGACCAGCCAACTATGTTTTGTCAGAAACGTTGGTGATGGCTGGTCGAATTCACGAACGAAGCATGGACCGCCGACATTCTCCTTGAAAAGGTGAAAGGCAAAACCGAAGTTGATGAGCTGGACGGCCCATCAGTGAATTTTCGCAGAACTGGTTGTTAAATACGAACATGAAGACAGGTAAGACCAACTCTCTTAATGGCTGGCTCCGCACGGTGCAGCCATGATGGAGGTATCATTGAAGCGAAGCATACCGCAAATATTTCATGTCGCTTTTGCTTCTCACGGTTTGGCGCCGCCTCACTCATAGTGTTTTGTGCGAACTCGTATTCTACCTTGTGCCGCCATCTAAAGTCTAACAAACTTCTACCTGCCGTCACACATAGTCTGGTCCATCGATAGGTGTTTGGCCGCGTAGATACATGCGCCAAGAATCTCTCTGTGTACCAGGTTGATCGATGATCCGATGATGAACGGTTCTGGTCCAGCGCTGCAGCCAGGATCAGTTATCGACGTAATCTGTTGCATGGGCCATCTTGAGAGATCTTGAGGCTACTTCAGAAAAGCTATCGATGATTCGATCTATGTCCACGATCCCTCCGATCCACCCTCTTATCCCTTCATACACGATGCTCAACAAAATCCTTAAACAAAATGCCCATGCCCACCGTGGTGCCGCTGTAGACACCACTAGCATGACCTACGGAGGGGCAGAGCGGCTCCGGCATGAGCAGCGTCCAGGAGGGGATCCTAGTAAATTGGACATTGTCGACCTGCTAGCATTGCAAATTACTTATCGCGGCTCGCAAAGTATGTTGAAATAGTCGCGTTCTAGCCCATGTTTGACTCCGAGTCAATAGCCATTTGTCTGCTCGGGCTGTGAATTCGCTGTATTCTGCTCAATGAAGGTCACTTCGCATCTTCATAAAGTTTATGCACTCCCTTACCTTGGACTTTTCAGTGCCATACCGCAAACTAGAAGGCCGGGAGGTTCAGAATCCAATGTCACAAATTCCTCTGCGCAAATAATAAGGTACCCATGATCAGTCCTTGCCTGGAGTGCAATTTATTCATGTTGTTTGACATGATTCCATTTCAGACCCATGTGGAGAAGGTCCCGTAAGTGCAAGCCCTTCTGAAGCAATATCATTGGGGGCTCATCGAGAAGGATGGTACCTTTGCCGACACTCGTGCGCGCTTATCACGATGTCCTAGGTGCTGAAGGCTTCGGCTACTGGAGCGCTCCTGAAGGCACCAACCCGCACCTCGAACATCCAAGTGATTCTCGCGGTGCTTTTGCATGACGCGTGCACGGCGTGGAAGGATACGAGCACAGCTACATGCTAGTTCCAGATAAATTGTTGATGGACAAGACTGGCTGGAAGCTGGAGAAGTGTTTCATTGCCCGATTTGTGTTTGAGCTTGGCACTGGGCCTGAGCTTGTTTCCAGGGCGGATATCGTGGACTGGGACTCGTAGTACAGGTGGCGAAATATTCCCAAGGAGTCGTCAGTCGCCTTGTTGTTGCATTTCCCCTTCACCGTATACCAGCTTTTGGTGCCTATACTCCACGTCACAGGGCCAAAGAGAAATTCTCCGGAGAGTCGTCAGTCGCTCTACGTGCACTATATTGGTGCCGAAGTTGAATTGAAAATGCTTCCCCTGTATGTGGAAACTTTCAGCGGCTAATTTTATGCTGATGATCATCGCACTAGATTCTCTGAATTTGCCCTGCTTCCTTACGCAGATATCAATATGACTTTCTCCGGCATCGCAGTCCACTCTTTCGTTAACAAGGCAAAGAAGAATAGCATAGCTATGAAGGCGAGACAGAGCCAGTTTACACGTATACCAGCCCTGGCCCCTGCATCCAGCACCCTATCTATTTTCCTCTATGGAGATAATGAAAACTGGGACCCGCGGCTCCCCTTCCTCCTGAACAACAAACCTGACGCTATCGTCGGCCCGAATGCCGGGCCCACCAGCTATCTAGGGACTCTGGGGAGTTCGTCATCTTGTATCGTCACATTTACAATACACCTTTTGCCGCCGCCAAATATGCAGAGCAATCCGCGGGTATCAAAGAGATTCGTTTCCTCAGATCATTGATCATGCCGTTCCTCGCTTTAACTTGGATGGCTTGGAGATTCACAATCTCACGCGGCCTAGAGAATACCTCGTAGTCTTTGATCCTTTCCAGCGTCCTGGCCAGAGGAGCATGAGCTCGATTCGATTGCCGAGCGTACCGAACGGATTTACGATCAAAGCGGTCGGTAACGACCAGCAGGAAAAGGTCCATTCCGTCTCCGTTGGCGTCCCTGCACCGGTTTCTGAGTTGAGTGAGCTGTGTCGCTGAACTGTTGGGTTGAGTATCTTGCTCCCATCGCCCATGCACATCTCCATGAGTCAAAGCCAAATGATGAATATTATGTTGAGTAGGTGATACTGATCATTGCCCAGAAAATAGTGATTGGTTCATACTAGTTCATGACTACTGTGCTAGTGCTATAGTTGATAGATGGCATCGGGCCACTTGGCCACCTACCAAAGGGGGGTTGAGCTTTTCTAGACATGCAATTTGAAATTCGTAGTGACTTAGTGACTCTGCAGGGACTCAGTGGAAGACTGACGGTTGTGATGTCGTCTTTCAAACGTAAAACACCATCTGGTCGGGCGACTCTGCCCCAAGGCACTCGACTTTCCCCGTTTTCCACTTCTACCGTGATAACTTCAACTGGAATACCTTCACTAGATGATATTCTTGGTGGAGGACTACCCTTGTCCTGCTCTCTCGCCATCCTTGCTCCCGATCATCACTCGGCATACGGAGAATTAGTGCAGAAATACTTCGTAGCGCAAGGTCTTGCTTCTGGTCAGAAAGTCTGCATCATCCATGACGAACCCCTGAGATTTGCAAGGGAGTGCATCTGGATGCCAGGGAGTACCCCATCGACGCCTGCGCAGTCCAGTACAGCTGAAGATGCAGACGATGAGAGGGCGAGTCAGCATGATGATAAGATCAAGATTGCCTGGCGTTATGAGCAGATGAAAAAGTTTCAGACCACAGTCTCATCCAATTCGTATGTAAGTCATCTATTTGCGCGGATAATACTGAAGAGGTGTTTAACCAACCACAGCCTTAATGACGACTTCTGCATGACATTTGATTTGACTTGCAGGATCCCTACTGCGGCCCTTGATGTCGCACGGCAATCTTCTCAGCTGATTCCGATTGATGTCGATAGTTCTGAGGACAGCACGGGAGTAATCGAACGGATCGAGGAGCTGCTATCGAATAGCACAAACGCACACGCTGTTCGAATATGTATCCCTGCTTTGGGATCTCCCTACTGGGGTGACATGCAACCATCAGTGAGACACAGCCACCCGCAAGGAAATCGTGACTGATGCAACCACAGACTGTGCTGACCTTGCTCCATGCGCTTCGAAGGCTTCTCCATCGGTATCCAAATGCCTGTGCTTCACTGTGTCTCGCTCCCCATATGTGTACGGATACATGGGGAGGACCAGGATGGGTTCAAAAAATTGGCTGGCTAACCGATGCAGCGATCTCGATGTCGGCATTTGGCGGTGAGCCTTGATTGCGTGCCCAACATAGATTTTCTGATGACGGTGATGTGCACAGCTGACCCCTCGCTAGCTTCTCTTTTCCCTTCCCATCACGGCATTGTTCAGATTCTTACGCTTCCGGCCCCCCATACCATTCTCCCAGCCAGTGATAAATATTCTACTCTCCGCGGGCTGTCATCGGCTGCAGGGGCAATGGGCGGAAGCGGAGAAAATAACCTCGCTTTCAAGTGCATGCGCAAACGTCTTATCTTTGAAACTCTACATCTGGACTTGGAAGGTGGTGTGACTGAGCGGCGAACGACACCTTCCTCGAATGCTATTACCCTGGATGCCAGCATGGTGCATGAGACGATGCCCGCCGCTGTCCTCGCCACTGAAGGCAGAAAGGGTTCACTTGCCATTGTGGAGGTTGAATTTGAACGTGCCAAGGGTGTGGAGTTTGATGCACCTGCGGAGGCTATGACCGATGTTTCCGCCGAGCACCCCGTCGCCCCTGCAAAGCCAAAGAAGGCAAAGAAAAAAGTGGCCTTTCATTCCGAGCGTCCTGATTTGTACGATTTCTGAGGACAAATTTATCACCATTACCCCTGCTAGAACTCTGCCAAGATGAAGAATAGGCGTTGGGAAGTTCCTTGATTCGTACCTGCACTCCTCACACATGCTTGCTTCCATCAACGGATGCGATGTCTAGCAGAGTATGTTTCATTTTAGGAAGTATCTCGTTATAGGATGTCAGATCTAAAAATGCATTTGCTTTGTTCATCAAAGGGCATGTTGAAAGTGAGTGTTATGTCGTTGGAGGAATAATGACCCTCGCTACGGCGAGAGTAGGTGATCTAATTAGTTAGCTGGGATGTAGTTAAGGAGGAGAACTTGAAACTGATTAAAGCCACTGGCATGCATAATTAAATAACCATGAGCTGACGTGTGAAATGCACCTTGGCTAGTGCGATGGTCATGGGTAACCATGTCGCGGTGATGGAGATATGACGAACGTCGCAAACCGTGGACTGATCAAATTTATGGGAAAGAAAACGTGTTTTATGTAAAAGTACTACATGGAAAAATTAGTACGCTTTCAACGTAGCACTCGTCCTTCAAGTCGTCTTTGAGGCGCACGAGCAAGTAACCATTAGATCAGTTACAATGGTAATGTAAGTCAAAGTTTGACTTTATCCTTGTTCACCGACGTTGATAACATTTCCTAAGGAACGACCATCCCAACGTACTTGTACCATCAACCCAACCCTCACAGAAACCTAGAGCTGCATATACTTATCACGAAAAACCACTACCACCAATGCCATCGCTTCATAATGCACTACCAAGACCAACCAGTTGGATAGATTCGGAGATGGCACCTGGTAAGACCTTACTTTTGTTGACTCGGAGTTGGATATGATTGTTTCCATACTACGCATAAGTAGTTGTGTTTGTTTTGCTAAACTAAGTCCTCAGCGCTTAGTTTCATACTTCCTTTCCTTTCATTTCAGACGTTCGTTACCGACTTTTTTTTGCTAACCAGTTTTCAAAGATCTAGACCTTCTCACTACCCATCCATCTGCCGCCTTACCGCCTTCGAACTCCCTTTCTCCCAATCACCCCGGATCCCGTTCACGTTCCCCGACTCCTTCTGTACCTGGTGAATCTGGGACCTGGCCCCAACATTACGGTACCCAGAATTTAACCAATATGAGACTTGCTGCGGATACTTCGAGTCTGGACGAGCCTCCATTCGCTGGCAATCCCCTGGTACCAGGCCATTCATTCTTACAAACACCTCTAGTACGGTCGGTCTCCGAGGGCGAATCTCTTATTCGTTTAGATTCATCTCCAACACGCTCATTTGCGCGACCTCCAAAGGTGCCGCCACTCCCAGATCCCTCTCAGTTCCCAGACCCATATCCACAGCGTTCTCCTTATTCTCGCATGTCTGATCGATCGTCTTCCACCCTTCCTGCTCTTTCTTCCGAAGGCTCATCTTCTCCATCAACACGTTCCTCTGCATACACTAGCTCCGGGAGTGCATTAGCATCAAGCGACTATGGCCACGTTCACGTTGCTACCGGAGAGGATGAGGAGATTGGTGTTGCAGTAGGAATCACATCCGATGACGTGGACCAGATATTACAGACCAAGGCCGTTACGCCATCGTCCGCAGGAAGGACCCCAATTGACCAAACCAGGTGGTCGGAATACTCAGCGAGTATTCGATCCAGGTCATCTTCGATCGGAGTCAATAACACTAACAGCATGCATGAAAATGGCATGCCACGCCTTCGCCAGAACCCTAGCTTCGATATGGGTTGGCAAACAGTCGATGAGCGAGATGAAGTTGGTTTGACGAGCGACGAAGAAACTGACGACCTAGGCGAGGAAGATGATGAGGGTGATGATAAGGAGGAGGAAAGGACATCTGCAGTAGTGGTGGCTGAAGAAGGGCGCGGTCTCATTGTCAAAGGTGAAGGTATCCCAATTGTCCAGCTACGCGTTGATCCAGGTGAGTGCGGGAGTTATTTGCAACATAAATTATCCGACTCATGGTCTTCTGTCGTTGCGCCATCTTCGTCAGGAACTACGCACCTACTTCTTGGATCGTCTAGCACGCCAAATACAGTGCCATCGTTCCTGACAGGTGCCTTGCCGCAAATATGCAATACCTTACTTGCACTCGACATTTCTGCCAACTTCTTGGTCGCGCTTCCTCCTGCCCTTGCTTCATGTGAGAACCTAGAAGAGCTCAATGTCGCGTCCAACCCTCTTCGAGTCTTACCCGTGTTCTTGACTCATCTCACGTCCCTGCGTGTACTCATCGCAGATTCTACTGGTATTGGTAGCCTTCCCGATTCATTATGCGTGCTCGACAAGCTTCACACCCTTAGCGTTCGGAGGAACAAAATGCATTCCCTGCCCAGCTGGCTGTGCCTCTTGCCTTCATTGCAAGAGCTCTATCTTGATGGGAATCCGTTCCAGGGTCCGTGGCAAGCTTTGGTCGAGCCGTTGCTCGCTAAAACTTCGATGCCGCCGCTTTATCCGCCCTCGACACCTACTATTCCCCCTTCTCCTGCTAGCATTGCTGACTCATCTGTTGGGGCCGAGACCGACACGGAGTCGGAACCTACTAGTGCAGGTCCGGATGGGCCCTCATCCTCGCAATTCGATGACGATACTATTACCCCAGCTCGAGCTCCATTCCTTGGTCGTTCCGCAACCTCCCCGCCAATGCTTCCCGTCCCCAAAGCTGTTCCAAGGGGCTTGACACGCACCAAGACTGCTCCCAACGGATCATTTTTCAATTCAAAATCGCGGCCCAGAACTGAAGCGACTGCTGATGGACTCAGGGCATCGAAGCGCGTAGAAGACTCGGGTTACTACACAGATCATGATCTGCGGAGAATGAAGAGCGCGGGGGAACTACGTTCATCTTACGATCAACCTGACTCTCAGATTTCTCCGCAGGACTCACCCGTTGTTACCCCTGCACTCCCGAACTATTCGACCTCAGCGTCCAGCTCGAATTTGCTTAGCGTTGGGGGTGGTTCGCCGGAATCTGATCGCTTGATCGTGCCTAAGCGGTACGCCAGTCTTGGCGTTTCTTCGACATCTTTAGCCCCCACGCGCAGTCCGCGGCCATCCTTACCTCATACACTATTTGATCCGCCTTCAGCCACTTCAGAGCCGGCAGTCCCTGAGCCCTCGCGTATTTCTACCGTCGAAACTATTTCACCGGCGACTTCTCCGCGTCGGCCGTTGTCGCGTGATCCGACTCGATCTACACCAGGTTATGGGGAGAGAACTAGCACTGCAAGGCAGTCTCAGTCTCACTCCAAGGACAGAGAAAAGACAGGGCGGTGGGGTTTCTTGAAGAAAATGTCAATGGGAAAGATGCGACCTGGACCTGACTCTCCATCGCGCCCGAACACTACGTACAACCGCACGCCTCAGCTTGAGTCAGGGACTGTGTCCGCTTTCAATCCCCCCACGCCATTCTCAAGCACGTCACCTCAGATTGACCTTCGTTTCTCCACTACGGAAGTTTTTGGGACGCTCACGGGCAGTGCTCCTGCAGTCGCTTTGTCCCCGCCAGAGCAAGAATTTGAGAATGAGACTCCAACCTCTGAAAAGGCTTCCCCGATTCCGCCGCCTGCTATACCTGGCAATTTCCTTGCCCCGTCACATTCTCCAGTTCCACGATCGTCCAGAAGAAGGAGCTTCTTACCAGTCGCAGATGCAGCAAGCATTCCTCCGCCGTCACCTGTGTCCTTTCTGGAACGTCTATCGTACGATGATGACGCGGATGAGCCCAGGCCCAGTATGACCTCAAGTCCGGTCCCAGATGCGGATTGCGTCGACTTTACTACTCGGAGGGAGGAGGAACGAGCGCGAGAGGCATACACGCGGGCTTTGCGCTCCGTTATGGCGTACTTGAAGGATATGAACGATCTCGGACTGTCTCAGGGTGGCAATACCATCAGCATGTATGCCGGCGCGGAGGAGAGTTCGCCAAGCATACGCTCGCGTAGGCCGACAATTGTGGAGAGGACAAATTCCGACGCGTCTACGATGTCGATATCTCGCGCAGGATCCATGTCTGCTCAACTACGGTCTCCTGATGTCATGTCCGGTTTACGCAGTGGAACTGCTTCACAGACGGTCAGCGTTGCTGCCTCGGACTGTTCTACAGAGGAGCGGAAATACAAGGATGATAAGAGCAAGCGTGCACTCGTAGTTCGAGAAATTGTCGAGTAAGGATTCTTGATTGTCGGCTGTGGCGGATGTTGCTAACTGCGAGATTTTTAAGGACGGAGAAGACGTACGTGAAAGGCCTTCAAGAACTCGTTGATATATACATCAAGCCTAGCGCTGCTCCCGTCAACCTGATCAGTGGCGTTGGTTCTGGCAAAGAAACGGTCATCCCCTCAGCAGAGAGGAGGATCGTTTACAGTGGTATCGAAGCCCTCTTTTCATTTCACAAGGAAAGCTTCTTGCCGTCGCTGGAAAAAGCAGCGGCTCCACTGCTGCAAAAGCCTCCTGGAAGTGAAGAGTTGGATCCTGACGGTCAATTGTCAGTGGATGTAGCGGCAGCTGTGGCTAGTTGTTTCTTGAGATATGCTGCTTTCATGAGGATGTACTCGACATATATCAAGTAAGTACTTAGCTTCGCGCGCTCCGCTCTTACTGATAAAGTATGCATAGCAACTTCGACAATTCTGTCCAGCGCATCAGATTTTGGTCGACAGATCGGCCTGTAGCAGGCAACGCCAGCCCAGGCTCAACCCTAACGCCCTCCTCCAGCTCTGCTCAACTTGTTGGGCTTGGTCTTGCTATCTCCTCTCCTTCAGTCCCAGGCGTGATATCTGATCCATCCGCTCCGAGTCATACAGCACATTTAACGTCTGGACAACGGAAACGAATAAAACAGTTTTTGAAACGTTGCCGCATGAATCCTCGCCATTCACAACTCAATATGGAAGGCTATTTACTTCTACCAGTCCAACGAATACCACGGTACCGCTTACTAGTAAGTGTTCGTTCTGGTTTTTATGCGACGCGATTGACCGTCTGTTTAGTTAGAAGAGCTTTTGCGGAGCACTCCACCATCGTACACCTTTTTAGATGATTCATTAGACAGAGCTCTGACAGAAATATCTTCTCTGGCCAACAACATGAACGAAGGCAAACGAGATTTCGAATCTCGACGAAAACTTGTTCAATGGCAGTCAAGAATACGAGGCAAATTCCCCAGCCCTCTAGTGCAGCCACATCGGTGAGTTATAAATGCAAGCACCAGCTTACAATCCTCTGACGCTTCAATCAGACGGCTCATCATGGATGGACCTCTACTGCTCACCAGGGTGGTGCGAAAGACGGTCGTTTCCTTTGAGACGTTCACTGCTCAGGGGGACGCCTCTGCCGTTCAAGTTGATTGTTTAGCGCCGGAGCTTAATCCCCGCCCTCTCGTTGGAATACTGTGTAATGACCTTCTCGTTCTTTGCCGGGATCCTAGCGACGGGAAGGATCCGATGTCTGCGGTCGACCTGTGGGCCGTGCTACGGATGCAAACTTTGCCGCAGCCAGCGAGCATCGTCCACGGCAACGGTACGTTGATTGGAAATGAAGAAGTTTTTGTTTATCTTAATGATCGTCCTTAGCTTTGCGCCTGGTTGACAACAAGGCCATCCTGTATTTCGAAGCTCCATCAGGTTCTGACGCCTTGAACTGGTTTAGAGGTAAATATGGCACACTTGTCGTCCGATTTTCGCTGACTGCGGGTTCTAGCCATTAATCTACACATACCTTCTGCAAAAGCATAGACACTTAAGGCCACCATCGCGCCTAAAACCTAGTATCCACCTCCGTGCATTCGCTTCTAGCTCGCTGGATGGGTACTCTCTGATACGTATATATACTGTCATTAAGTTTCCTGCATGTTGCATTCGGTTTTCGTCCTCAACATTATCTTCCCACTGTATTTCACTCATTACGCTTTTTTAACTCTCGTATGGCTAGGTAAAATAGACAAGCTTAACTGAAATCAATACACGCACGTCCTGAGACTCATTCTGCCGTGACAAACAGGTGTGACTCGTGACTCCTGGCCTCAATTTCAACTTCGTAGTATTTTGAAATAACTGTACTCGACTAAACCGGAATGTGGTAAATTGGATCGTTGATCGAGACAGGCTGTAGCAGCTGACCGAGACCGAGCGAGGTAACCAATAGTTACTATGAAAATAAAACACTCGTTTCTCCGCAGGATTGATCAGTACAGGCTAGCCTACTAAGGTTGTGTGCATTCTGTGTTTACAAAGGACGAGGTCGCATGATGGTTAATTGCAAGTCGATATTCAATTTGACTAGATATTATTATATAGGTAGAGTTGACAGTGACATGCAACAAACAGCCAGGTATGTTGGACAAATCGAAGGGTTACTACAAACATGTGATATAATTGACAATAATCCAAGGGGCTCGAGGTATAATTACATCTATAAGCGAGGCGACGTCAGTGATTGTCAAAAATTGCAAAGTAGAGCAGCCATGCTCACCAGCCAGCGCCAGAATGCCTCAAGCTTGTTCTTTGGTGGAGGTTCGTCATATGTATCAGCCTCGATTTGAGCTAGATCGCTCTTGAAGTCCATGTCCTCTGGAGCCACGGGCTTGGTGCGGTAGTAGATGCGAGCACCGACGTACATGATCGGCCAGACAATGAGAAGGATGTAGTTGGTGACGAAAGTTGCAGTGCTCCAGTTTCCTTTGAGGAAGACGCTCCATCCGCTGAACTAGAGAATGACGCAATAGTCAGTCTAAACATTATTTAGCGTGTGCGTTGAAATTTGACATACGAAACAGATGGTGAGCGTTGAGACTACTCCCCACCACGCTGCGTATGGTTGGAGGTTTGTGTGGTAGGGGAGTGTCTTGCGGTCGATGCCTTGGGCTTTCATGCCCTTGTAGAAGCGGAGGTACGTCACCGAAATACCGAACCACGTCATAAGACCAGCGACGGCTGTCATGTTGGAAAACCAGTCAAACACCCGGCCCGCACCCTGGGACACAGCCATGAAGGCGAGGAGCGAGAAAGAGGCGCAGAAGAGAACAGCAACGTAAGGCAACCCGTTGCGGGTGGTTTTGAGGAAAATCTTGGGCGCATTTCCTGACGCTGCAAGACCGTCTGTAAAGTGTGTCAGTTTTGACAAGTTGGCTCCTATAAACTTGTACGTACAAATTGCACGAGACGAAGTATACAAGTCACTAGATGAGGCGGACCATGCCGAGGTCAACAAACAGGCATTGATAATCTGTTTTGAATAGCGATCAGAAATTTCTGGTAAAAAATGAAATTCACGTGCGGCTCACTGAAGGTAGAGATTTAATTCCTGCTGCTTCGATAGCAATGACGAAAGGGGACTGGGCAGTTCCACTGTTCAATTTGAGTAATGGGTTGTTGGATGGTACAAGAAGACCGATGATGAATGTTCCACCGATGTAGAAAAGCAAGATACGGATGTATACTCGACGGATGGCCTTGGGCAAGGTTTTACGAGGATTCTTTGCTTCTCCAGCAGCAATCTAAGTGACGTTCGTGAGCAATTCATTCATCGAGATCAAGCCTAGAATATAACGTACAGCAACAATTTCGGTTCCAATGAATGAGAACGCCGCCTGCGTCATAACGGCCCACCAGCCAAGGAATCGGCCTTTAGCACCTGAGATGCCGTTATACTGAACGAATGGTCCAGGATTCTTCCAGTAGCGGAATCCAATGCGGTCATGGTCTGGGCCACCTCCCAAATCGATGACTATACCAAGAATAATAAGACCGGTGATTGTGATGACCTTGATGGACCTATAATAATGTGAGAATACGGGATCGGGATACCGTGCTGTGTACGCACGCAAATATGAATTCCGCCTCGCCGTAAGCACCAGCACCGAGCATATTAATGGTGAGAACGACGACAAGACACATGACGACCCATACTGAATCATTGACAGTATTATTCCAAAAGTTCATCAATAATGCAGCAGCGGAAAGCTCAGCTGGCAGGACGGCAAATGTCAGCAGGCGCGGTAAGAAATGCATGAAACTCAAGTACCAGGTGCTAAACAGTAAGAGGTCAGTAAATGTAAAAATTGAACGAGGAAGACGGGGACGTACAGACAATGGTCCAGTTATACCAGTAATTCCAACCCATGGCAAACGAGAACGCAGGGTCAATGAAGCGCTCGGCCAGCTTGATGTGACCACCAGGTATGGGCAGGAAAGCAACCTACGGAAATGAAGATGAGGGATATGATCTATGTCTGGGACGTGTAGCAAGCACACCATTTCTCCCAAAGTGATCATAACAGAATAGACAATGGAGCCCATGACGAGGTAGCCAAGCAATAGACCGACGGGACCTCCCCACGACAGAGAGTTCGCTGTTCCAACAAAAAGACCAGTACCGATGACACCGCCAATACTTGAAGGGGGTGAGGATTTGCCATAAGAAATCAGAAAAATCAACATACCTGATCATGGCGATGTGACGATTCTTGAGTTTACGCTGCAGGGTGTGGTGGGCTGGCCCCTGAATAGACTCTGTATCATGATCTGAGCCGTCAGAGAATTCGCCTTTGCTTGTGTGATAAGCAGTAGCATCTGTCTTTTCGGCGCCCATTGTGGTGAGCACTCGCGAGCGAGAAGGAAAGAAGGTAAAAGGGAAGAGATAAGCTTGACCCACCTACTCCGGCTCATAGATATACGAGCGTCTGGGGGGCGTGGCGGTGATCATTCTTGCTGTATCTAATAAAACATTTTGCCACGTCTGATAAGTGACATAACCGATTAACCGAATGGAATTAAGAAGGTCAGGTACCCCACCGCGGTAACAACTGTCAGCGGTTTCATCGCTCCTACCTCTCGAAAAATTATTCAGCGTGTTGCTGGAAGGGGTAGCATGCATATGCACAACTCCAATACTCCACACAGCCAAGGTACCGAACACGGTCTTCCTATTTTTCCCGGTCGTTGATAAACAGTCAGATTTGAAACACCAAGGAGGAGTACTCTATTAAGCGCCTCTCACTGATCGCTGATCGCGATGAGTGTGCGACAAAGTATGTCATGATTGAGATTGAGCACTGTGCAATTGTTTCTGAAGTAAAATATGAGTCGTCAGGCTCTGGTGATACATCAAAACTTACTATGAATCAGGAGTCAGATCATCATCACCGTCGTTTTGACCTTCGTGATCGAAGTTTGGATGGTGCAACCAGAGGCAACCAGTTGGCACGATTTCTGCCGGTTCAGTATAGTTGTGGATAGTATCTGCATATAGTGAGTCGCGACCTTCGCATTGGTGTCGGTTAATGTGGTTGCTATGTATCCGCGAGGTCAAGGACGGTTTGCGGCTCCTAGCAGTCCATAGAAGCATCAATGCATATGCATCAAGTATGTATCTCCATAGTCTCTCCTACTACGATGAAATCCTTGAAGCCAGAAATTCCTTCTACATTATCTCCATCTTGAATCAACATTTCCCTGGAACAGTGCCCTAGCAGATGGGCCAGAATTCGATTGCCTACCATGGGGACCGTCGATAATCAAAAAAAAATTGGACCGGTCTATTGATCGATTGTCATATCTTATTTTACTGATAGTGGCTGAATTCTGCAACTTGCCAAGGCTAAAACGGTCCCTAGCTAGATGTCCCTTCAAATTCATGGGCCCTCATACGACTGAGATCGATGGATCAGGTGATAGGTCACGGTGTGGAGGCGGGTGGAGGCATGTGGAGACTTGCTTACATAATTGTGATCCGGTGGTGCTGCGATCGCGGAAATGCCCACATTTGGTAATGATTGCCTGCGGTGCCTACGGAAGAAACCTGCAGTGGCAAGCGCAGTGGTGTCAATCAGAAATTCTGATAAAATCGGACAGTGCAGACTTTACGTTGGACTGCGCTAAGTAACAGCCTACTACAGCACACTCGGTCGTGCAAATTCGCCGCCTGACATTCGCAATGGACCTGGCGTCTGCTACTTCTCGTGTGCCTGTAAATGGCTCACCGCCTGGGCAGCACTTCCAGAGATCCGTATGTACAATACCGTTGCCTTCGGTCTCACGCGCTTCAGAGTCCTGTAATCCTGTAAATCATGAAGAGCTCTGTCATAAACATGTATGTAAGCCATTTTAATCACGGGCAACAGGGCCGCGCTGGAGCTAGCGGTGATCGCGAGTTATTATAATACACAGCTGTGCCATGCATGTAAGTAGGACAAGGAGACTCGTCCATTGGGCAACTATCGGAGCTCTCGGAATTCAATGGGAAATCCCGGGAAATCATCCATGTATCATGGCACTAGCCTGAGCCCAGGCTGTTGGCTGATTTTTTTTCCACCGCGCATGCCAAGGTATGCCAAGGTATGCCACCAATGACTTGAGAAGTTTTCACGTCACACGAGCAAATTTTGAAGGACCAATCATGCAGAGTTGACAGCTTCCGAAAATCGGTCTCGACAAGCTTCTCGGGGCAAAGTATTTCTCAATTGAATCATATCAGATTACACAGAAAGTCGAAAACCGAAAAACCGGGTATGAGTAAGGCAAACGCCACGAAATGTTCCGAGATAATTCAATGCGACCAGCCCATTAATGATCCCATCCAAAGGGACAGACCGCGCCATGATGGTGGAGTGAATTCGATGCCCGGCGCAGGATATGAAGGCGAGCAATGCCCAGCCAGATGACCGTCAGGCAGAGGGTTGACATTTTCTGCTTGGTAGCTGGCCCCCGATGACCCAGGGTCTGATGGGCGGAACAGGGGTAGTTTACTGAATCGACCACTGATGCGGGTCTTCTTGCGAGGTAGAGGAATAGTGCTGCCAGTATCAGCGACACGGGCCTTCTTGCGAGGTGGAGGAATAGTGCTGCTAGTATCAGCGACAGGCACTGCAGGATTAGGGGAATTTGTCGGAGGCAGCAAGTTCTGAACTGGATCATCGTCTCTTCGTCTCTTTAGGACCCCTCGGCGGGGTGCGACTATGACAGCCTGTTTGCGGGCATTCTGCACGAGCTCGTGTTCTGCCAGCTGCAAGATCCTGGGCCCTTCTGGTATATCTTTGCGCTCGTTCATGTGGAGCAACGTAGAAAGCGTGCGATCTCCTGCCTTCATTGGGATACCTGACAGGTTGGGAACATCTGCACAGCTTGCGATGTACGCGTTCTTCACGTGCTTCAGGCTGAGATAGCGCTCACGTTGATGTGACTTTTCTATATGGTGGACGTATGGCGAGTATCCGTCCCGATCCCGCTCTCGGATTAGGTTCCCTCGTGCTATGCCTCTACGTTTCTTGACTAGCAGACGATGACGAATCGTGTTTATTGGTGAGACCTCGCCCTTCTCGACCAGTTCAGCATGGGGAAGTCCGGCCTCACGACAAAGCTCAATGTTTTGTTGCCGAATACGCTCGGCGGTCTGGGAGAGAGGTCGGACACGGACGGGAGCGGGAGGAACTTCATCATCATCCGGGAGATCTGAATACCACATGTGCACGTGGTCACGAGGATTGACCCAGGGCATTGCTGGCATTGAATGATTATTGCGGGAGACACTGGTAGACGATGAGGGTTCTGATTCATGACGAACGCGTTTTGAGGGTCGTGAGTCGAGTGAAGCGAGAGAGGCGTGGGGGGAGGGGGAGGGGGAAGGTTCTCTAGAACGCTTGCGCCTAGGAGATGAGGGTGACGATTCCTGGACTGCAGTCGATGATGTCGACGGGCCCGCCTCAGATGCTTCTGCCCTGCCTCCAATCGAAGGTAGTCGTGAAGAGGCCCGGTCAGGACATGGTTCTGCCAGAGTTTCGAGGAATGTCCGAATAGCAGCCTTCACCTCGTCTGTGCTCTGTCCAGGAACAACAATGCGTGCTGGAACGGCATCTGAACCCCTAATCCAGGTATCCTGCAAGTCATCAGGGTGAACAGGCGGTTCTATCTTTTCCTCCTCAGGCTCCTCTTCATAAGGCGGAATATACCCCGTGCGAGCCCCCTGGGTTCGACGCTTCCACAACTCATCTCTCCGTTTGTTTCGCTTGGTACGCTGTACGAAAGCTTCCGTCTTCTCGCATTCACGCGCACGCGCACCATGGAGGTCAAGCTTGAATGCAAGCAACCGTTTCTCGAAATGGAACTCTTCATCCTCCGCCTTCTCTAAGCCCACGGAATCGTCAGGATTGGTACTTCGACTCAGCTGGAAATCGATGAGTGTTACGGCACCATCCGCACCAACGAGAACGTGGCGAAGTTCAATATCCCCATGGAGGATACCTCGCGAATGCAGCATTTCAAGTGCTTCCATAGCACGCTCCTTGAGGACGTCGGGCATGCTCGGAGAGGCCTCCATCCAAAAACTTTGATGGGGTAATTCCATGGCAATGCTGATCGCCCCTGGCAAGATGTGGACACCAATGATGCGAGGAACAATAACGCCTTGTAGGGGCTTCAGGTATTCTTCTGAGCTGTAGAGTGTCATCTGAAAGATAGACGCTCAGTATACGAATGACATGCATGATACACACACACCTCAGAATGAAATCCGATCCAATCCGCTTGCTTTTCCAGATTCCATCTATGTGAATATTGAGTAAATGATAATCATCGCTTAAGACATTTCCTTACCGTCGGCTGATAAAAGTGATCTTTCGTCCGGCGATAACTCCGGTTTGTACGTAGGCTGAGCACATCGAGCCCTCTAAACCATCGTGAGTAACAGGAACAGAGATGAATCCACGACAAACGCACGCCGTAGGGATAACAACGTCTCTGTTTGTTGGATATCTTCGCCAGCTGCCCACGCACATGGACCGTGTGGCACATAGATTGGCATATCCTCAGCCGATTTTCCACGCGCTGAAGACTCGGGTTGCAAAGTAGATGATCCTTCCGCAGTGTCCTCCTCCATATCGCCCCAGTCCACCATTGCTGCACACCTCTCTACATCTTTTTGCCGTGGCGTTGTACGTCGAGTAGGATTCAGGAAAGTTGGAGGATGATAGGGCGCAGTGAGAATCTCGAAGAACTGTGAGGTGTGGTCTATGCATGATGGCACGTTGTAGTCGCGTGGAAAGATGGATGGTGCGGCGTATGTAGGGAGTCCATTTGCTGACTTCTCGCTATAGCAGCTTGGACTCGGAGATGGTGTCCGAGAGTGTGATGAGGTTGTGTCTGCCTCCGGTTGGGACGTTTGCTGTCGTCCTAAGGTCATGCTGAAGCAAGTGCGATGAGGGTAAGGAGGGAAGCGGAGTGGTGATGCTGGAGGAAGTGATATGTGGTTTGCATTGTCCAAATATGTTCTGCCTTATAATACGGCTGCCAAAGCGTGAGTGGCCACAGCGTCAAGCGTGTCCACACCGCTTCGACGGCATTGTTGTGGTTTGGACCATCCTCAACACTTTCCTTTTTCGGACAAAGCGATGTCCACCGTAGTGACTGCCTTTGTTCTTCGTCGTACGGAAGCGGACGAAATGAAAATTATATACAAAACTACAGTGACTATAGGTACAAAATAGAGAAGACATGTCTGTACAATAATATCATAAACTATCTGAGGTACAAATCCGTAGAATAAGATTGCGTACCATCCAGTACACTTGTGGGTGGACTTACATCATAATGCTAGGTTCTGTAACACATCATCCAATGGAATCTGGAGTCATAACGCGAATGCCCATCCGCCAGGCATACTTAGTTCACGGGATTTTTTGGACATCAAGAGGCGCTCAACGCCCGGGTCGACCGAGTGCTTCAAGTCCCTTGGGGGCATCACAGATGCTTGTGATGGCAGCCGCGGAAGAGAGTAAAAATAATGTGGCCACGAGCTGAGGTCCGGTGCGGATACAGGCGATGACGTCTTCTTCGGCACAGGTGCTTTGACAACTTCGTTAACCGTGGCGTCGAAAGGCACTGCTGCACGGTAATCACGCAGTCCGTGGCAAAGCGCGTCGGGTGATCCACCTGGAGTGTGGGCATCACAACCCAGAACACCACAAACCATTTCCCCATCTCCGACACCTAAGTCCAACCAACTACCCATCATCTCGTATTCTTCCAATGACATCCCAGGAAACTCGCGTGAAGAAGTTTCAGAGGTGGTGTGCCGTTCAGCTAACCATGCAGCTAGGGTAACAGAATCTGATGATACAAGACTGTCCAACGATGTTCGTGAACCAGAGACATCCTCGGTCCGAGAGCCCGGGGACACAGGTGATGGGTTCTCCGCGAACGCCATATAGTCACCCCCAGATGGGTCCGGTTCATCACCACGATTCATCGTTTTTACGTCTGCACGTCCACGGGAGAGTTTCGGGACCTTGCCAATGCGCGTGACAACACTCTTGACATTCTTTAGGCCACTCTTAACCGATTTCTTGAAGCTCTTCCACGAACTGGAACGTTTTTCCACATTCGTGTGAGTTTCTGTGGTAGAATGCGAGCCCCATGGCTCTGGTGCGACAGCTCCACTACGCGAGCAAAGGGGTGACATGGGTGGTTCTGGCGTCAATGGGCGAAGAATGCGATGCCGTATATCAGATGGCCATGGAACATAAGGACTATTCGGATGGTGGAAGGCGGGGACCCAATGCGGTCCTTCGTAAACTTTGGTGTTCTTAGTTTTACGAACAACCACTCGTCGAGTGGATGCAACGTGGCTAGATGAATGGCGGAACAAGATAGTGGCTGGGAGAGAGTGGGAAGACTTTTTACGACACTGATTTGCAGGCGGGGACGTTAACGAATGGGTGGTTGAGAAATTGAGGAAGGAAGGTAGTTGCAGTGTGGATGCAGATGGCAGAGGAGGAAGGGGGCGAAATGACTCAATATTGCGCTGTGAGCGGTTTACGCGAGTAACGGGTTGGTCAGGAGGAACAAGGTTCTGCTGCTGCCCGCGGGTCTTCTCAACAGCGGCAGGCTTTTCCAATGATTTGCACTGTGTAGTTGAGAGAGCGTGAGGCAGCTGGATTAACTATTCAGTAATATTCAAAGGCCAGCCCGCGGGCAGGTTTTTTAATTACATACAGCATTATTCACCAGTACTGTCTTGTCCGTAAGAGGTGGACGATATGCCCGCTGGGCCTTGCGCTTTTTGACCTTCTTGACCTTAAGGTACGGCTCACCGTCGAGGGCACATGTTGATACTGCAGAAGCAATTTTAGAAGGAGCGCTGATCTTCAAGATCATATCGTCGAGTCCAGCAAGACGTCCAGAATAGTGAAACATGATTGAATGAATGAATGACGAGGGGTAACGAATGTTCGTGATTAGACGGAAGAAAATCAAATGAATGAGGGCGCTAGTAGCTCATCAGGCTGGGGCGTATAAAAGAAATACAAGGTATAGCTAACCAAATAACGCGTACACAGGAGACAAAAGGACAAATGTCAATCTATACTATTTATAGAAATTATGTAACAATCACAATTTTACAATGTAATTGAGGCGATCGCGGCGGAAGCAATTCCATGTGCAAACTCAACGAGTCTCCGCTGAGTTGTCCTCCCACGCCTGTGAGTTTGATATTAATACTGACAATCATGCAAGTCTTTTCCAGCTACACGCACCTCGAAAAAACGACGTCTAATAGTCACACTTACCCCCCTACAGCTTGTAAGGTTCAACGTTTGTAGTTTAGGGCAGTTGTCGACAACAGAAAAGAGACCAGCACCTGCAGCACGTGAAGCCCAAGTTAAACTGTAAGATAACACGTCCACCTACTGCTTATTTTTGTGCCCGCTAGTTCAAGCGCCACAAGATTTGAACAACATGCCAAATAAGGTGCGGCTTCATCGTCCACACCAGTGTTGTTGAGAATGAGTTGTTCGAGTCTGGGTGGTTGATTTTCATCGTCTTGCGGAAAGAGGCCAGCGAGATGACGGGACTGTAGGTGATGCACACCTGACAAGTTGAGGTACTAATACAGAACTCAGACGTGGTATAGCTCAAAAAAAACTGTAGAACCAACCTTGCATTTCCTTCCGACGCATCGAATGAAGTATTCGAGGGCGGCTCCACCACCACGAGAAGCGACCCCTAGTTTTGTATTTCCGACCAAACTAATCTTTTCGAGTTGCCCAAAATCCTTCAACACGTCTGTCAATGAATCCAGCGTTTGGTCCGTCATCGTCATCGCAGAGGTATTCCCAATAGCTACCGAAGACCCTTGCCCACCGCCAAGGGCCCCAAGAGCGAGAGATTTCAGATGAGGAAGACTAGAGATGAGCGCCACAACATCGGTGCTGCAAATCGCAGTGGATGTCAAGGACAGCTTCTCAATTCTCGCCTCTGCTAACACAACCGGTAGTGGTCGGTGGACGTGCGTGAAGGAGAGGTCCAGCCGAGTGAGGTTCGGACAGCGGGCCAAGAAGGAATAAATTGAGCTTTCTGAAAGGCCCAATTGACGTAGTTTCAATGTACTCATATTCCTCAGCATGAAACTATCATCTTGGAATACCGCAGAAGATAATTTGGCAAAGGTTGCGTCGGTCTAAGCTGCAATAAATCAACTGTTTACAAAAGTTCAAGCTACCCACCCAGTTCGGTATCCCGGCGAGCTTCAGCACCTTAAGGTCAGAACAAGCTTTAAGGAGTGGGACGAGTGCCACGGGCGGGACGGTAGTGTAATTAAAGTTGACGGTTGAAAGCAAATGGCAAGACCGTGCGGCGGCTTCCGCAGTGGCGGACCCCACTTTAGCGCAACCACTGCAGAGAATGAGGCCCTCCTGACCGCAATCGTAAATTACACTCACCGAAGAACCAAGACTTTGAGGGACGGCACGGAAGGCAGGATAGCTGCGAAGACAGAGTCGGCGAATTTAGCGAATCCCGTAAGGTGCAGCTCATGCAGTGAATTGCCAGCATAAGCAACTTCCAAAAAGGTGATTCTATTTATTACTGGGATGTCGCTGGTCAATACGATCGACGGGCCTCGTAAAAAGTACTAACAGAAGATGAGCAACATATCAGGAAGCAAGGAATATACATACGTCAATTATCATTGTATTGGTAAGTATTTGTGGACAGGAGGATCTCAGCATGGCGAACAGTTTGGGCACCAAATTGTCAGGCATAAGTTTCAGCCACTTGAACGTGTTTTCCCAATCATCACGAGTTTCGTGTAGTGCCTGCAGGTTTGCGACAAAGGAGCGTGCACATAATGCGGAAAGATTAGGTATTGAGCCAGTAGACAGCAAAGAGCGAGTGGAAAAGGCAGATGCTGTGGAGATGCCCGATGCTAGATTGACCTGGTCATCCTCATTTTCTGCACCAAAGGCAGGGACTCCTCCCCTCCGTCGTTTTGCAACTCGTCGGGAGGGTTCCGCCTTCCGTTTCGACATGAGAGTCGAGTCGACAAGTCATTAAAATTGGAGGATCGGAACCGTCACTTGCGTCACATCCTATTTAAGTAATTATCCCACAAGTGGTATACACCTAAGTCTAAGTACTTTACGACCCAAATACCAGGATCTAATGGTGCCCGACACGCCCATCGAGGAGTATTTATCATGCCAGACTCCAAAACCAGAAAACAGACAACACAGCCCCAATAAATCCTACACTGACTCTCCATAGCACCCTCTCCATTGACTTCATGAACGGTGCCACCACTGGATATCCCAACCCAGAAAAGACCATGCCAGGCACTCGCACAAGAAGTTGGAGCATGTTGAAGGGAACCGGAAAATAATAAGGCTCATACTGGACAAGGGCTTTCACAAATGACTTGCGTGCGTGCAACCCGATTTCTCGTGAGAAACGATCCCATCTACTTGTTGAGGCGGTTGATGATGCCAATGTCGGGAACATTGCCGAGGTCGTGCCGAGTGCTCCCAGTAATAAGATGATGACAGCGATGAAGAGGATGAAGAATGAGAATCTGCTATCCATTGGAGCTACTTCCATAGAATTCGGTAACACTGACAGGGTGTCGACGAGCGAGGCGGACACGAGGAATGTCGCGAGCAATAGGACTGGAAAGAAAAACAGGGTGACCGGTATGATGATGCGGGTTGCACCGTGCAAAAGCAACGTAGAGATAGGTATGGCATTCTCGGGCTTCACCGCGACGGGTAAGCTGGGAGAGTTAGGGAGGTGGAGGAGAACCAGCTGGTGTAGGAGAGCAATGTTAAGCACAGAGAATGAGACGTTTCCAGGTATAGGGACAGATGGAAGAGTCGTAATGAATGCTAGGAATACAAGCATCGCTGGCGGAGTATGGATTGACCACCGTCGAGTGAGGGATGCAGCAGACATGAAAGTGAGAATCATCTCTCGAGTGCCTTGCTCGTTTTGTCCCAGGGTTATGTGGAAGTGTGGTGGATATAGCAAATAGTGGATAAGTGAACCCATAAAGACCAGTCGGCCCAAAACATCAATGAGATGCAGAACTCTGTCGGTGGTGTGAGGATTGCACATCGATATTCATATCTGCAGCCACGCACCTGGGTGTCGAAAGAGCATCAAAGTGTTCCATTAAGCTTAAGCCGCGATCCTGAGCGTATTGGGCTCTCATCCCATACTTCCAACACTTAATGACTACGGCTTCTACGACGGGGTGTGTGAGAAGCTCTGGAGGAGTATGTTCCTTCGTCAACATATCCATCACTGCTCAGATATGAGTGTGAATCATTAATTCAAGATACTGCGCTCGCCTCTCGTAGTCGCGTGCCCCGTATCTTCCAGCGGGAAGGCTGTCCAAAATATAGTTTGGATGGCGGAAGAACTACTGTGATTCATGAGGAATTGGTCCAACATCTCGCTAGCACGTCGTCCGGTGTCCTCAGCAACAGCCAAAGCACCTCTAGTATGCTGCCAGTTTTCCCAAATATCTGAAGAGTCGTTTAGGACATTGTACTGTGATTCATTGTAGTGTAGTTGGACGAGCAACAGAAATGCAATCCGTTCAGCGTCAGATGGAAACGTATATTGCGAATCCAATGTATCATCGGCGTTCGAGCCCCCCAACCGGTACCGACGCACCGCAGGAAGTACAGCAGGACGATGCTCCATGACACTTATATGTGACCCTGATAACAGAGGTGTAGCTTCGTCGGCCTGCAGTGTTCCGTTCATGAGAGTTAATGGTAACTGGACACGTTTGTTGTGACTAACAAACACAACCATACCCTAGTATTGACATGATGTACTAGATCGTCAGACCACGACTCCTCTCGAGCTTCACCAACAATGAGCGCGAACATACCATTACTACAGACCATTGAACCAGATGATCCGTCGACGGTGCAGGCTTCATCTAGACTCGGAAACACTACATCCAACGCCCGACCTCCGGTAGTATTGACACCTACCAATAATATGGCCTCCACTCCAGCCGATGCAGAATCAGGTTTGCATGTCCATAGAATGTTCTTTTGTTGTCTTCAATAACAACTTACAGGCATTGCTAGTATATTGAGACAGGTCTGAATCCACAGCAACGTGTTGACTTGTTCGACTGACTCTCCGCTGCAATCAGTCTGCACACCCTGCAGCTTTGTTTTGCCTTTATTTCTTCAGGACATCCGCCATCACTGTGTACATATTATGTGGACTGTTGACAAGCAATTATGTCCTTTCCGTGAGTGACAGACCTTTCGCATGTCTCGTTCCTTACTGAGTGCGCATAGACGGTGGTGGTAGTGGTCTTACTTGCAATGGACTTCTGGAATTGTAGAGTAAGCTTTTGCGAGGCTCATTCTCTGACAACAGACTAAGATGTGCAAAGAACGTTGCTGGACGTACCCTTGTTGGTCTGCGTTTCTGGAACCAGGTGGACGACGATGGGGAGAGCTATTGGGTATTCGAGAGCAGAGACGTACGAGAGAACTTATATTTTTTGCTGCTAACTGTCTCATTCGTCGCTACCAGCCATCAAGACCAGCCAATCCGGTGGATGCTAAGTGCGTCTCATTTTCATTGACAATGGTCAAGTTTGGCCTAACCATATGGCGTGGATAGGATGTTCTGGGTAAGCCAGAACTTCTGACATTCATGCTTCTCACCTGCACATGCGACTTTGCAGATAGCCCTTTACGTGTTTCCAGCACTCTGGTTGCTGCTCTTCGTAGTCTCCGTCATCCGTTTCAGCCTCTCGTGAGTTAGAATAAAGCGTTTCATTCAGCTTGTTGCTTAATATGCCAGGTTTGTTCCCATCGTGGTTCTAGCCCTTGTCTTCAATCTTACCAATGCCGTTGGATTCACCTATGCGTCAGTGTTATTTATTTTGTTGTTTTATTTTGGAATGCTCAATGCTTAGAAACGCCACTTCCAGAGACAGAGATGCAAAACAAAGATGGGCCAATGGTATTGCATCATCTGGATGGAATATGGGAATGGGGGGCATAGGCGGGCAGATTCTGGGCGGAGCTATGAAGAACAGTTTCGGGAGATTGTTCGGATGAATGGATCATTGAAGGATCATTCGTCATACTTGATTCCAAAGGCCAGTGTGATATAGCTGATGATGTTACACAAGTGCGAAAGTTGCAATAATAAATGCTGACAGTCCAAAATGAAAACAATGAACACGAAGTTGAAAGCAATGAATGCGAATGTGAAAACAGGGACAAAAACGAAATGCGAATAACTGCCTACGTAACAGATCAAAATGGGTGATACAACATGCGTCATTTATGCCTTTCTGCCAACGCATTCATGAATGAAAGGAAACAGGGTCACAGACCTATCATTTATTCCAACCCAACCCAACCTCGAGCATCGACACGGGAATACGCCGTTGTCGGCGCCAATGAAGTCCCGACGCCAATGAAAGACCTCACACGACCATGAGAGCGGGAGGTGGATACTCGAGGGGTGTGTGCCGATGGGAATGGGTAGGCGATGTTCTGTACATTAGATGTTACAGTCATAGTGGATGGCGTGCGCAATGCGGTCGTGACATGTCTGGGCGAAGGTGGAAAGACAAACAGAGTCTGAGAGGGTGTCGCAGCGATAAGCTGTCGAGGTGGGGTAATTTTCGGGGGAAATGTAAATTGAGTGGTATTTCCGCGGAGTTTGAGCGGGGGTGGCGCTGGTTTACGAGCCGGCGTCCGGCGACGGGTACGAGGTGTCTCTTGACTATCTTGCACAGCAATGGGTGTGATTGGGGATGGGGGAACTGGGGGTAGTATGCCCAACGGTGGCGGTCGCCGCTTGCCCTTGCCCGCAGGGAAGTTGAAAGTCGATTGCACTGCCGTAGCTGGAGGTGGATGAATATTGAACGCAAGTTTCGTTGCAGGTGCAGAAGGCACAGGATCAAACGATTTGCTTCGTAAGGATGGGCGATGGAGTGGAGCTTTACAAGACGAAGGTTGAGTACTAGGTTCGCTTGCGCCAGGAGATTCGCTGGACAATGACAAACACGGACTTCTTCGGGGTTCGGTGGCTTCATCAAAGCCCCCACCAATTCCTAAGAGCTCTTGCTCTTCATCCGCTTCAACCAAATCCTCGCTCAGGACGCTGCCGGTGGTATGGATGCTGGCAACTGAGCCAGTTCGCTTGCGCCCATATCGGCTACGCCACGCCGGACCCATGCCCACCCCCGATGACGAGGCAACGGAGGATACCGAAGGTTTCCTTGCTATTATGCGTTCTTCCATAGCCCGGTCGAGATCTTTAGCCTCCTGTTGGATAACATCGTCTCGGTCATCCGTTTCATCATTACCGTACGCGTTACGGCGACGACCCCACTCCTTTTCTTCTTCACTGATGAAAGAAGACTTGTCTGATTCAGCGGGCGAGGGACCGCCACCTTTGAGGGCCTTTTCATATTCCAATAATTGGTAAATGAGACTAAAATTAAAACCGCATTGAAATCGAAGACAATGTGGCAAGAATCGAGGCTTGCTTACGACATATTTGGACCAACGTGCTTACTTTTCTCTTTTACAAACGAGTATGCGGCTTGCATGCCTTTCAGCTGCCACACCTCAGGGGGTACGTTAGGTAAACACATGGCAGCGGCGCGCATGACAAGAGCGATGACCATTGTGGCCGAGCGAGAGATACCGCATTGACAACTGCACGTGACATGAGGGCTATGGATCCAACACATCTACGAAACTACGCACTGGATGAGTACGCCTTCTTGACGATTCAGTGCAGCATCTACAAAAGCCATAGCTGTAGGAAATCCTTCATGAACGAGATCTGCCTGTCCGTGAGACCAAGGCAACTTCAAGTAATGCATGCCTGGACGCCCAGATGGAATATGAGCAGGGTAATATGTCGAAGCCGTCGATTGCATTGCCTTGGATGCGTTGTAACTAAGATTGGGAGTAGATGCGAAGGGTCGAAGGGGTTGCGCAGCAGAAGAATCAAAGGGTGATGTGACTTCTTTTGCAACGTTGAGGATCGCTTTGATCCGGCGCTCCAGGAGGCCTTGCCAATCTCGCGCATTGTCCTCAGAACCAAGCCAGATCCCGGGAAGAATTTGGATGGGACCATTCGTATATGGTGCTGTGGGAGAGCCATCTTCATCTGTTCGATGAAGGGCAGTCGTTATAGCAGTATTTGGCAAGGAGAGGACAGATGGCCGTCTCGGACGAATACTCTGGTGGACGTCTTGCTGTGTGTCGACAGCGCTGAGAGTATCAGAGAGTGGTGAGGCGAGAGAATTTGAGGAAGATTGAGCCGATGGAAGATTAATTGAGAGATTTTTCATGTTTCTGAGGGACCTTGGTTTTTTATGTGCAAGAAGCTGAGGGCTTGATGCGGAATCGGAAGCGGAAGAATGGGCAGATGGAGAGCTAGCCTCGTCGGTTGCGAGGACTATAAGGGGACTGTGTTCAGCAGGAGTGTCAATGCGGAGGGCTGTGGGGGGACATCTTTTGCGTGTGGTCATGGATGACGCCTGGACCAACTGCGGTAAATATTGAATTTTGGTAGATTGCATGACAGGAGTCAAAGATATGAATTACACGACCAGCGTGTCACCTTGCCTGCAGGCGCGATAAGATTGATCAAAGAGAGAAAAGATCCCCGTTGCCTATAAAAATCAGTAAAAGAAACGATGATACAGAAAGAAAAGAAAATAAGAATTTAAGATGGAAACCGTCGGCAAAAGACGGATGATAGCTAGAGGACAAGGGAGTAGAAGGGGAAGACAAAAGTTATGTTGGTTACTTACATAATCGATTCTTTGTATTTGTTTGGTTAGCCTTGTGGTCGCAGTATTCACAGCCCATCGTGATGCACCACTAGTGGCATCACTACTGTGCGGAACGTGGTATCCTCCTTTCCGATCGCTTATACCGGGTCCGCTACATTAATTTTACCAGATAACGTCGGCGGACGTTCAACGTTCATGTATTTCAGTTCCGGAACTTCTACGAACACGACCAGATCTCGAGACAAGTCTTCTCAAAACACTGACCTCTCGGCTGAGGAGCTCCTTCAAGCTCCACGCATTTCGAAGCTCAAAGTCCGTCCGACTGCGGCGCATCGATCCGATCTTATTGCCAATATCCAACATGCGTTATCACCCAATCTCCTTTCTTCACTTAGACGCCCTCCAGATGAATACTTGAGATGGACAAGTTCATCTCCTCGCCAACCCCCGAGCAGTGTCCATACTATCCGTTACCACTCACCCTAGGCCAATAATATAACTTTTATTCTACGTTATTCTACTTGGAGATCACGCGTCACCAGCCGAGTGGCCTGAACTACTCAGCCAAGGCCTGCCAAGGCTCGTCGCTTGGGGCAAAGATGGCCGTGTCCGAGGCTCCGGTGCATGTTAATTCATGATTATCAACTACATGTTGGGCGGCGGCGTGGATTTCTGACGCTCCACTTCTCCTTAACTCAGGCTCTGGGATCCATTGCACGATCAAGATCAAGTATCTTGACGAGAGCCCGGCGATCGCAGAGTACTCGTTGTTCGGCGCTATATGAAGCCGTTGAAACTTGCACCGTCAAGTCAAATTTCTCTTCAAAACCACTATTAGCTCCGCCTTACCCGTACGCCGTTCAAGTTAGCTGGCATGTGGACTCTATAGTCCTGGGACCTGCAGGACACTTCCTGGCAGAGTTAAAATCAATCAACAGTTCATGGGTTCTCGACCGCTTACTTTTTTCTAGGTTATTCCCATGTTCTGATTCTCAAGTTCGTTGGGATCACACTGGCACACTCATATTATAAGTGTTTTCCCTAGTGCTCGAAGATAGAGTATCGTGAGGACCAAGTCTGGTTCAGCATTTCTCTTAGTTCCCTGCTCAAAGAGAGGACCAAGTCTGGTTAAGCATTTCTCTTAGTCCCATATGTATATGTAAGCTGAAACAGTAGTACGAGACAGCAGGTTACTATATAGAGTTAACCCTCTCGGAAGCTTTTACGTGTCGTTCCTAAGTTGACGTGTTACTTGTGAAACCTTGAAAATGAACTCCCAGCAAGCTCTGTTTGTTGTCTCGTTCCTTTCGACGCTCTCTATCCTTGTATTTAGCTTTCATTGGCTGCGAGAAAGGCTCAGAGAAGCTGGTTACGACGTCTCTCGTCTTATACTTATTGGATTAGAACCAAAACTCGATACTACCCAGTTCTCTGACGATACCAGCAGGACTCAAATGGCGTTCGGAATCGACAGTTCGTACACACAAGTGATCGCTTTGGCACTGGCCGTGGCCAGCAGCGCGTTCATCTTTGTTAAATTCGGGTCTTCGTCCAGTGCGTTCGCGGTCTGAATGGCTGTTCATTCTCACTGGCATGTCGTCTTTCTGCTAATTGCGTTACTAATGTAGAACGGAAGCCGGTACTGAACCCCCAAGTTTGGCAAGAGTTCTCACTCAAGGAAAAGATCGTGATATCGCCCAATACCGCCATGTGCGTTCAATTGCGTGTCCTTCATGCTAACCATGAATGACCGCTTGGCCGCATAGCTACCGATTTGCCCTGCCTCACCCGCAGGATGTCCTTGGCCTGCCCATTGGACAGCATATTTCGGTTTCGGCAGAGATTAACGGAAAGGATGTCATGCGTAGCTATACCCCGACCAGCAGCGACGACAACCTCGGCCACTTCGACCTTCTGATCAAGGTAAGTCGCCGTTTTCACTTGAGACTTGGACAGCAATTCTTATTCGGGCTCCAGGCATATGAAAAGGGCAACATTTCGCGCTACGTCTCTCTTCTTAAGATTGGCGACAAGGTCCGCATTCGTGGCCCGAAGGGCGCCTTTAAGTATACCCCCACGCTTTCTCGCGAGATCGGTATGATTGCGGGTGGTACCGGTATTACCCCCATGCTACAGATCATCCGTGCTGCCTTGAAGAACCCCGAAGACACGACGAAGCTCAGCCTCATCTACGCCAACGTTAACTTTGAGGACATTCTTCTGAAGAAGGAACTTGATGCTCTCGCTGCGGCCCATTCCAACCGTTTCCAGGTTTACTATGTACTCAACAATCCTCCGCAAGGCTGGACTGGTGGCACGGGTTTTGTATCCAAGGACCAGATCGAAAAACACATGCCTTCGTCAAATCATGATATCAAGGTTCTCATGTGCGGTCAGTCAGGAGTTCGTTCTTACACGTTACAAGTGGCTGATGATTATCATTCAGGTCCACCACCGATGATAGCTGCTATGAAGTAAGCGGAATTTATATTTGACTTTGACCAACTATTAACAGATACTTTCTAGAAAACATCTTGCGGAGCTCAATTACGATGCTCCTCGCACAATCAGCAAACTGGAGGACCAGGTAATTAAGCGTCAGTTAAACGCTGATGTTCATCTGCTGATATCAATTCGCAGATTTTTGCTTTTTAGATAAAATTGAGTTTGCCTTGAGTGAATTTGGCAATGTAATCAGATTCATAGAGTTGGGCTTTGGTTTGATACCTACCGGGACGTGAATTGAAGCGCGGTTTAGGAGCAAACACCTCGTCGAGCTGCAAGTGTAGTGGCGGAAGGCACAGACCGTCGATCATTGATTCAATGCCTAAACCACACGACATCATGCTTTTTTTATGCCTATATGAGCTCAGGTAGCTATAGGCGAAGTATCTTGCAGTAAAAAGTTGGGTTCAAGTTGGTTGGACTGCATGGCCGCCACTGAAGCGAACCCACGTTGCAATCATGATCGCCATGATGCAGCCTAACGCAAACCAGCTCCCAAGCCTCGCTCCTTGATACCTTAACCTATCGATATATCAGCACCAGTGCTCAGCTAGCACTGCACTGTCACAGCTGTGCTTCGGTCAGCATTCATATATTCATATTGAATCAGATTCAGCTTACAGATCTCGTGATTCTTTGTTGCTTGACTGTCTGTGACATCATCACCTTTCAGACCGACGGTCGGACTAGGCGACATGAAACAGTCCCTTGAGTACACGAGCATCCTCTGTACCCGACTATCACTATCTCTCATACCATTCTAATATTTTCCATTGCCAAATGTCCAAACCCATCCTGTACACATTCGGTCATTCGGTCTGGGCTGCCGCGCCAGAGCTTGCCTTGTGAGCTTCGGTTTTCCAGACATATGCGCTATGTCCAAGCTTGAACGCTAATACCATCCTAGGATCGAGTTGGGATATACTCAGGACGATGTCGAGAAGAAGGTTGTGAACCTTGCAGAGGGGGAGAATTTCGCTCCTGCCTTCCTGGATATTGTATGTTTTCATCCTACGAAAATATTGACCGCTAATCACTCTACCAGAATCCCCAAGGGACAGTGCCGACCCTCGAAGCCGGAGGAGAGGCATACACCAGTACCGCTAAAGTCACATCGTACCTCGTGGCCCATGCTAGTAACCGTGCCACCGTCGCCCCTGGGACTGAGTTCATGAGCAAAATTCACCAAGAGCAATACGACCCGAATTTCCCCTTGCTGTCAGCCGTAAGACACATTCCTAGCAAATAGAGTATGTCTCATTGATAACTTTCAGCGCCACGAGGACGAACTACGAAGCAAAGCGTCTGGACATTCTATGACGTTCGTCCAAAACCGTAAGTACCGCAGAGCTACCCCTGTACCTAGCCCACCTCATCTGCCCTAGGTCAAAACGCATTGTCAAAGCACTCAGGAACCCCCCAAAGCGTTGATCACCGGAACTTTTATGACGCAAAGGTCGCTGAGAATGGCAAGGTTCTGTCGATCTACCAAGCCAAGGCACCAGAGAACGTCAAGAACGGCTTCTTCGAAATTTCTAGGGTTCATTGGGACACCTTGAAGGCCTTCATTCTAGACGAACTCCCTGACATCCTTCCGGAGAGTGGTTTCCTTGGAGGCGACATACCCGGTGAAGATGACTTCCATCTTGCAGCTTGGCTGGCACGCATTGTCTTTGCCGCTGGTGGAGGAGACTCAAGCAGAGATGGGGTGCATTCTATTGAGAAGGAGCTGGGCAAGCCAACTCCGGAAAGAGTTGTGTCATACTGGACAGCATGGAGCAGGAGGAAGAGTTGGCAAGATGTGTATGCCAATGGACTGCATTGAATGCGTATCCTAGATTGTGGATCGATCAGATAATTTCATAATATGCAGCGGTGAACTCAACCGCGCGCTATGAGGTGCAAGATTTACCAATTCTTCGAAAAATCAGTGATATATGAGATTGACATCGAAGATTCATACTCCTACTGTGGCCATTGGCCAGCTGCACTATTCAGAGATCGTCTCTCGTTGATGGCGATTGCCCTGCGAAGGTTGTATTATGCTGGTATAAATTAGGTGGCATGTGGATATGCTTGAAAGTAGTTGCGTGCAATATATTTAAGTACGGCAGGTGTTATAGAAATATCCAGCTCTAAGCGATCCATGCGATATAGAGTTAGTGGACATGGACCGGCTCTGGGTCATCTAGGACGTAGCCTTCATGACATCAAGTTTTGCTTAGTATTGATTTGCATCCTGGACTCTTCCAGCATCTGCGACCTGCACTCCCGCAAACTGTGTGTGACGATAAGTACGACGTTTTAAGACAAACACCGAAATGATACGCACATATGTAGAATGGAGCCGACAGCATCCATTCCCCGCTGGTATTCTTCTTCCGTCGGTTCCCTGTCCACCGTTCGCGCAAGTTGTATGGCTGAATCGTAGTAGTGCAATTCTGAGAGGCCTTCTTCATCCTTTGGTAAGAGCGGTAGGAGAAACCTGAAATGATGCAGCATGCGTGCATGGGGCTTCAAAATTGGATGACTGGGTATAACGAGACGTGCTCCGGCGTCTGACCAGATCAAAGCCACATAATTTGCGGAAGTAGTGTTGCTCACCAATTTCCGCGATCGTATCAAGAAGAGCGCGTCGAAAACGAATACCGCTAAGTATGGTGCCTGCCGTGCGTTTGGAAATCCACGATCAGAAGAACCTAATCCCATGCTTACCTGGTCGGCCCCACCCGCTGTGAACTGTGTTGCGTGGCTGGGATTCATATGACACCAAGCAAGAACGCGCAAATTCTTGTGAAATATACTCATGAACGGGCTTATAGGTATTCAGAGCTACGCCTACATGTGGAAACTCGATATGACGCACCTGAGGGACTTCGCTCCTAGCGATCGAGAGGTGCGTCTTCGAAATCCTCTGCAATCGGCGACGCACCGCAATTCGCCGTTTTACACAGAAGGCGATGGATATGATGCACTACAGGTAATTGAACAATGCCATCAAGAAAGGCTACCTACATGTCGCGAACAAAGCTTACCACGAGCACGTATGTCGCTGCAATTATCACAGCATCCCCGTTGTTCGTCCAAGACCTGAGTGGTGAAGTTCTGACTGCTTGTGACAACAATGCAGCACATGATATGGCAAAGAAACAACCGGTAACGAGAACGAGGAGCGCATAACAGATGTCAGAGATCCAAGCCCGCGCTCGAAGTGATAGTTTTCGCATTCAACTAAGGAGTGGACAACGGTTCATTGCTTATTACGTAAAGCCATAGCAGGTTATAGCTTGTAGGGCTCGGACGTTGCTGGAACATGACTACTTCTACGGAACCGCCTTACTATCTCTTGGTCTCCCATTCATCTCTTCAGCACAGCTCAGGTCTTAGTTCCAGTTCCCTCGTGCACGCAAGCGTAGAATATCGCTATGCGGATGACTCGCCTTTGATACTGTTGTCGCGTCATCCTGACGAGCATGTCCTTGTGCTGAATCATGATCCAGCGAAGGGAGATATACCAACAGTGCAGAGCACTTCTAGTCATATGGCTGTGACGGGCGTTAAGGTGTCCGTGGCACCTGGCGCCAGCGCCAACGAGGACCACAGCACGAACGACAATATGTATGTTTTAGAAGTTGCGTCCACTTCTGACGACCAGTAAGTGGCTCACTTTTGCCAGTCAATTTGATAAGACCTTAGTGTTACTCCTCAGCTTGAGCATGGAGTCATCCCATGCCTACTTGCAGAATCCTCAAGCAATAGTCGCTCGATTCAAACAGAGGTCTGCTCAATTTAATTGTCGCGTCTCTGGCTCTGATCTCCACAGAAATGCGGTCCTGCGTTGCGTCTTCGATTATCCCGGAATCGGAAAGGCTGGTGATATCCTACCATCTCGGTCTAGCTCACGTCCCAAGTCACCGGGTCGCTTGACGTAGATTCACGCATGTAGTACCACAGTTACTTCTCCCCCTCTATGAGAGAAATGTAGGAATCTATACATCATCGGCGTTTATTGCCTTTACCACCTTTCCGTTGTTGAAGCGTTGAAGGGCCTGCATTGGACTTTACAACAGGCGTGTTTGCTTTCGATTCCTCGCCAGCAGAATTTGCAGAAAGAAGAGCAGATAGCCTGTTGTAGATAGGCATGTCAACTCGTGGGTTGCATAAAATGGTTACATACCCTCTGGGATCACCACTTTGGATGGACTTCTCAGCCTTCCCTTGCTGTCCTTTCAGTCCGTCAAGTGTTTCTGGGTCCAATTGTTTCTGCACCAGCATGAGGACAGAAAGCAAACCATATACGCATCAAGCTCACCATGATGTAGGGCATTGCTAGCATCATCACGCCAGTCAATACCATGATCATCATCATTGGACTCTGGAACATCCCCAGGAGATTGAAGGATTCGTGCGGCGAGAAGTATCTGTTCTTGTGACGGGGAGTCAGCACAATTGGGTAAGGAAGGTTAAAGGAGGCCGTCGTAAGGAGAGGAGTGCCGAATATGTACGGCCGGACTTCTGGCAGAGGTTCAGAAGGAGAGACATCTATCCGAACCTAGGAGTCTATGAGCACTGCTCAAAAACAGCAAGGGAGGGCTTACGTGGTCAAACGAATAATCACGGGATAGTACAGAGAGAACATATGTCCCTTGGGGAACATCTGGTCTGCGCAAGTTGGAGGTGGGAACGTGCTCCAGTGAAACGCAGCCTTACATTGAAAAGTTTCCATTCCGTGTCACGCGTCCTGACATCTTTCCTGCATCGAGAAGAACCTTGGCGGATGAAAGCGCATCGTAGTCTGTTTGCTGCGATCTGAGGTGTTTGCCACGCATTTCATACATCTGAAGACTCACTAGGACACAGTTTATTCCACTGTATATATCCTTGCAGCTCCGCAGCCAATATGATACTGGAGAACACAATAAGTGACGTAGTAGAGGCAAAGTAATGAGACTTACCTCGACCACGAGAGGAGGAGGCTCAACAACGAAAGGGTGCGCACCATATGCATCTTGTTACTATTGACGCGTCAAACGCTTGGCGGCTGAGTGAGTTGTCGGAAGCCATTGGACAACAACACCAAATAACAAAATCAATACGGTGCAAATACTACTGCCTCCTCCACACAGTGCACTTGAGCAGTAGATCAAGATGCGTCAAAAGAGGGCGAAGACATACCGAAAACTAATGCAACTGTACTGCATGTCTTTCGGATTCAGACAGCCTTACCAGATCCTCGGTATGTCCATAGTGTGACAAACAATTGCAGCACCCTAAGTCCTTCCACAGTAGACTCAGAAATGTGCCAAATAGCTGTAGATTCCAAGCAGGATCTCATAAAACAGTTTACTACCGTGATCCAGGGAAACGTGAAGCCCAGTGAGTCTTTCCGCACGCCCGCAGTGTCGTTTGCTGAACGTCTGACAAGTGTATTTTCAGTGATCACGCAATGCTCTATCCAGGAGCTTTATCTCCAAGGAAAGGCTCGACAGCCTGCCGTTGACCTCGCAAAGACGTTCGAACGTCGCAAATGCAACCATAGAGAGGCTATCCCTGGAGTCGACTGCCTCTTGAGCGTAGTAGGTGCGCTTCGTCTCATCTCTATGGTCCCTCATTACAGGATCTGATCAATGTACGTACTTACCAAGGGGACACTAACAAGCACAGGTATGTTGTCGCCACGCAATCGCAATCCCTGCGCAATGCACTGCGCATCATACCCGCGGTGCCCGTAATTCACATAAATCGCGCGGTCATGGTGCTCGAGCCACCCAGCGAAGCTACGCTGAAAGCCAAGGAGCTGGTAGGAGTTTTCAAACATACAATTAGGTCTGTATTGACGTTGCTGCTAGACCGACGAGCAATCGCTTCATTCGTCCGTCCCAAAGCTTGCAACCGCACTCCAAGATAAACTAGTGCCCAAGAAGAGGAAGGGTCCAAAGGGGCCCAATCCTCTGAGCGTCAAGAAGAAGCAAAAGTATCCAGAAGCCTCTGCCCGGCCTCCGCAAAAAATCAAGACCGAGTCATCAGATACTTCATCGAGCACTGCTGGATTGCCAGGGCAAAAACGGAAACGTGATACTCAGGATGATAAGCACGAAGAACAGAGTGTTGGAATGACTGATGGAGCTCAAAGCATTGTCACAACCAGGACAAGAAAAAGGCGTAGAAAAGCCGCTATCGTCCCCCCATCTTCACCGTAGTCATGATATACTGGTTTTATCCTATTCATCTCAGAAGGTCCGAATTCCGATTGAGGTTTCGCAAATCGTGCTATGTGATTGCGGGAGACGCGTATACATTCAAAGTGTAACGCAAAAGTAGGTTCCGGGTAATGATACAACGTCCATAACTAGAGGCATGCAACGACAACATTCAAAACTAACATCCACCACGAAGACGAAGCACAAGGTGAAGGGTGCTCTCCTTCTGAATGTTATAATCAGAGAGCGTGCGACCATCTTCCAACTGCTTTCCTGCGAAGATAAGACGTTGCTGATCAGGAGGAATGCCTTCCTTGTCCTGAATCTTCGCCTTCACGTTGTCGATAGTATCGGATGACTCCACCTCCAAAGTAATGGTTTTTCCCGTGAGTGTCTTGACAAAAATTTGCATGCCTCCACGAAGACGTAAGACCAGGTGAAGGGTGGATTCCTTCTGGATGTTATAATCCGAAAGCGTACGACCGTCTTCCAACTGCTTTCCAGCAAAGATAAGACGTTGCTGATCAGGAGGAATGCCTTCCTTATCCTGGATCTTCGCCTTCACGTTGTCAATGGTGTCAGATGATTCCACTTCCAACGTGATGGTCTTCCCCGTGAGGGTCTTGACGAAGATCTGCATGCCTCCACGGAGACGCAAGACCAGGTGAAGGGTGGACTCCTTCTGGATGTTGTAATCTGAAAGCGTGCGGCCGTCTTCCAACTGCTTTCCGGCGAAGATGAGGCGTTGTTGATCAGGAGGAATGCCTTCCTTATCCTGGATCTTCGCCTTCACGTTGTCGATGGTATCAGATGATTCTACTTCCAACGTAATGGTCTTCCCCGTGAGGGTCTTGACGAAGATCTGCATGCCTCCACGGAGACGCAAGACCAGGTGAAGGGTTGACTCCTTCTGGATGTTATAATCCGATAGCGTGCGGCCATCTTCCAACTGCTTTCCAGCGAAGATAAGACGCTGTTGGTCGGGAGGAATACTGCATTGCAACCGTCAGTTATGAGTCTTGAGATCTGAAATGCATACATACCCCTCTTTGTCTTGGATCTTGGCCTTAACGTTATCGATGGTGTCAGAGGACTCGACCTCTAATGTGATGGTCTTGCCAGTGAGGGTCTTGACAAAGATCTGCATCCTATAGCTTTTCGTCAGCCTCACATACGTGTAGAAGTGAACGATCAGAGACTCACCTGAAGTTGATAGTACGAGGAGGTTGGTTGTTAGAATTGGTGAAGTGTTGAAACTGAGACACCTAGATAAAGCGCTTATATACTGCGGAGCGGAGTTTAAACAACCCCAGGCCCGCCACTACACGGCAGACCCTCCATTTTGTCAGCCTGATGTCTAAATTCAGATTTGTTAGCTCCATGTCTATATGACATAATATGTATCCTTTTCGCGCTACATACAACGTAAATCACAAGTATTTAGTGTGATTATGTGCAAAAACATTTATTGGCCGAGTGTCTGTGTGACGTCCGTAGAATATAAATTATTTGTTTAGGTGATCTCTGTCCCGAGGTAAGATATCCATCTCCATGGAAATCAGAGGCGCGAGCATCTGCAGCAAATGTCAATTCTATAGTCACCGGAAGATGTAGGGAGGATGTATTAATAAAGACATATAAACTATGATCATCCGACGACACAAGCAGTGTGTTTTTGAAGATATATGAATTATATTTTCACCTATATATCCGAGACAGCATGTCCGGGTACATATGAATGTTGAACGTTGTAATACATCGATCATACGTGGCGGATATCTCTCGGTGGTCAGCCAATAATGCGCCACGGTGGTAATCAGATAGAAAATTGGAACACCATGCATTCAATGAAAGTATAGATTTACACAAAGTAATTAACATTAATGATAGCTAAATGACTTGGAATAGAAAGAGCGCGCAAAAATTATCACAAAAGCTTCTTCTGAATTGTCTCCTGCCATGCAGGCTGTGGACCTTTCGCTAGAGATGGAACTTTACGGCGACCAGGGAATTCCTGCAGATCAAGCTGCAGGAACTCGACCATTGCCCTATCAGTCGGTCAGGTGAGTAAATGGTGTATGAAAATATCACGTACTTGCGATATGCATCTTCATACCTAGCAGCATGACCTTCTGATTCCGTGCGCGCGCTTTCACGAACTTGCTCCAGCATGGCGTCAACGTAGTTCCAAAATTTCATTTTGTTCCACTTTCGCAAGCCGCCGTCAAGTCCGAAGCCAGATGGCGCACAACCGGAAGCATCAAGAAACTCATCAGGGGATCCATCCTCATCCACATCTGCAAAGGGGTCTTCAGTTGCTGCTGAATTGGTACCAGGGTCCTCTCTGGAAACTAGATTGTTGGTGACTGCAGCGTCGGTGAAGCTCGCATCCTTGCTGGTGGGATCACTGAGGCTTTCGTGGGTATCAGAGCGCCCTTCTTGATCCCCAGATCCCTGGCCTGGGTGATCCTGTGAAAATTCATTCACCAATTGAACCATATCAACGTCAAGCGCTGTCTCGATGTGCTCTCGGAGATCTTGATGAAGTGAGGGGATGAGGTAGGGGGAAAAGGCCTCCTGGAGGGTGACCTTTTCGTGATCACCAACACCGATCAGGAAGATGCGAAGACAGCGGCGCTATCTCAAAATCAGCAAACAGTATCAGACACCTGAAGAAACTCACCAAAAAGGCGAATCGAGTCCAATGCGAGGAGTCGACCTCCATGCCGCTATGTACAAGCGGTTTGAGGGCATCCATGATGCTCACTTTCTTGCTGATTGATGTGGTCAGCTGTGGATAGAACATGAGCAGGTTCAACTTTCATCCATTTAGAAAATACGTGCCGTGATCTTTATCTGGCCGCGGATGCTTGACAGAAGCCGTGTAACCAATTTCCCAAGCTGTGAACGCAGCTCAGTATCTTCAAAGAGTCCCTCCGTGATCTTGAAAAGATCATTGTGCGCTTGGATAAATTCCTGCAATACGAACAGTAAGCATTTAGAACAATACAAAAGAAGCGCGAACTACCATCACATGTTGGTGCGTGTCGGTGATATAGGCGGTCAGGTTTGGGGACAGCATACACGCGGTAAGGCGGCTTTTCAGTGCACTCTACAGATAGTCTGTTATGGAATAAATGAGAACAATCAATTAATCACCCGCACCTCGAAATCCTTCGAAGACAGTAGTTTCTCGAGTTCTTGTAAAGCATTCGCTTCGCTCCCTCCTTCTCGTTCAAGTTGGCCAGCCCTCAACTCTAGAAGCATGATGAACAAATCACCATTCTGGGTGAAATTGAGCGAAACTCGACCAAAATAATCAAGGTAAAGTAGACCGTACCTCGATAAATGCCAGCAGCTTCTTCAAGGGTACTCCGCGTTCGCTAGCAAGCTGTTGTGCGTGTGTTTTGAGCCGTTTGGTGCGTCTTGGGGTGAGCTGGATTAAATCAGTGCTGGAATCTCTCCGGCGCCGAACACCTGCGCTAATAGGTTCATCGAGATCCGATGATCCCCCTGGAGAACCCGGGTGTGGTGATGAAACAGTCAGAGTAACCGAGGCATCCAGAAGAGAATTCTGTTCATGGCTTGAAGCCTGCTTGGAGCCTGAGCTGGTGGGCTGCCTGCGAACAGCAGGACTAGAGTGAGCCGGGAGTCTTGTGTCAAACCCGAGCAGTGAGCGGGCACGAGGTTTACCAATGTGGGGTGGGGCCAAGCCCTGTCCTGGTGGTCCAGCACCGATGCTGCTTCCTCTCTGGGAGCCTCCAGATGTCGAGCGAAGTGGAAAACGATTGAGCATCATCTTGGAAGGTCCTTTTTGAGCTCTCAGTGAAACACTCAGTCACTGAACACGTTCAAAGTTGCGCTCAACAGAGTTGTTCCATTTCATGCGGTAATAAAACTTCCCACGCACATACATAGCAAGTTCAGCCACAATTCAAGCGTCGGTGCAATATGACATGGCTCTGCTGGGATGACCTCGTCCCAGTCCTTCGATCCCAGCTGGACACCAATGATGTTTGGGTGACTAAGTTTCTGACCGTAAGCCTTCTTGAAATACTCCTGCACCCGTTGTGAGAAAAGCTGTTACGAGTGTGATTCGTATCGAAACCTACTTTCACCGCAGTGTTCTTGAACTGTGGTGAATATGTGTGGAGGTCCAGCGCACGAACATCCTTCTGCTTTAGAACATCGAGAGCGGTGTCCTTAACCTACTTTCACCGTAGTGTTCTTGAACTGTGGTGAATCTGTGTGGAGGTCCAGCGCATGAACATCCTTCTGCTTTAGAACATCGAGAGCGGTCTCCTTCAAAAAAAATTGATATTATAAACCACTAGGGGGAATTATAATGATGAGAAGTGTCATAAGGATGGGGGGAATGATAAGGATGTAACTGACGCAAATTAGCTTCAGAGACTGTAGAATATAGAGAATTTTGGGTGGGTATTTGAATGGGTGGAGCAGGGCGGGTTGTATATGTAAAACGATTATGATCAGAAGATGCGGAAAGGGAAGGCATCTGAGATGCCCGATGAGACATTTCTGGGGGTGGTGAAAACCCTGGCGGCGGGAGATGCCATTGGTGTACTGCGGACTGAGGGAATGGTGCCACATGAGACATTTCTGGGGGTGGCGCAAACCCTGGCGGCGGGAGATGCCATTGGTGTACTGAGGATTGAGGGAATGGTGAACGTGAAGGACCGGCCACTTGAGGGGGATCGGGGAGAGGCGCAATGTATGGTTGAGTGGCACGCTGATAAGAATAAGGATGCGGGTGGAGAGGGTGGTGCAGAGCATCCGCAGTGATCGATGTGGGTGGGATGCGAGTCTGCAATGATGCGCCATCATCCTGGACAGGTGGCGAATACTGCGGAGTTCTCATTTCACCTCCCCTTGTTCGTGTTGCAGCTTCGACAGGCTGCTGCCGCTTCGTTGCACTCGTAGACTTGGTTTGTTTCCTGGATGTGGGCTTGGGCTGTTTCTTGGTTGGGCGATCAAATGCAGGACAGGCGCCATCCTCATCTTGGGGCAGACTCACTGCCTCATCTCCGAGCTTTTTTGCCGATCTCTTTCCCTGCATTTGTCTCACAGCGGCTTTTCGGACAGCTCCAGGATCTGCAACGCGCAGTGGCGTCTCGGAGAGGGATTCCGGGAGAAGAGAATGAAGATGCTGGTAGTTGTGAATGGAGAACATGTTGAGGAGATAGTGCGGTGATATTTGGTGCTTCACGATGCTTGATGTTCGGTCCGTTTGGGTCCGTTCTTGCCATAGACGCTTGGTAGAGAGGTCCGTGCATTTCGCATCGATACAATTGTGCTGGACGTTAGCGATACATATGATATCCTGCAATGCGACTTGAATTGAATATGACAAAAATAAGATGCAGTAAGGCTCACCATTCCCGACACAACAAGCTCCTCATCACTGAGGAGGAGACATGGCAGATGGAGCAAAGGGTGACGTGCAGGCATGATGGAAAAGATCTGAAGAGCAACAAATACGACAGAGCGCTGAGCCGCCGTTGAAATCAAGATCTCGCGGATGCGTCCAATACGAGTCTGTTCAACAGTAAGTAAACTAGAGGTAACATAGTGGGCGAAAACGCACCTTCTGAAGTGTGTCTCGAAATATGACATGCCCACCCAACTGTGAAGTCTCATGCTCACTAATCACGACCGAAATTCCTTGGTAGTACTCAGAATAGGAAGGACTTTTGAGTCCGTTCTTCTTGAATATATCTGCGCAGCGCGTCGCTTGCCATGGAACGATTTGGTGCTTAGACAGGTCAGTCACTGACATTCTACCTGTGCCTAGTATCATAGAATATTGTCAGTCTATGCTCGGATTATTGGATTTGGCGCCATACCTGGATCAGCTAGTGTTTTGTCAGAAATTCCAAGCAGACGGGCTTGTTCAGGATGGTCCTCGACACCCTTGGCAGCACTTTTTAGACCTTCCCACGGTCTTTCAGACTGGGTTTCTTGGTCTGCGTTAACCTATCTCTAAGACGTCCCTCCTGAAAGAGCCTCCTGCCTATTTCTTCAAACATCTGACCACATTCCTCGGGAGGTCCGTGGCCCTCCTCTTCTGTGAACTGAAGAACACCTCTGTCCTCTATAGCGCTTACTCCACACCCCACGAGTCCACGGGAGGAATATGTAATGAGGTTTCGGAGGAACGTCGTGGCATGTTCTGTTGCGCGAGGTTTGAGAGGAATGTTGGGGCGAGGTCTGAGAGGAATGTTGGGGAGGTTTCGGAGGAACGTTAGCGAGGTTTTGGAGGAACATTGGGGAGGTTTTGGAGGAACGTTCGCGAGGTTTTGGAGGAATGTTCGCGAGGTTTTGGAGGAATATCTTGCGATGTCCTGGAGGTTTTTCGAAGACTGTCTCGTGAGGTTTGTGAGCGGCAACCTGCTCTCAACCGCATCCTCGCTGATAGTGGTGTCCATGACAACCCCGACAGCATCTCGAACTCGTCCTTTAGGTGTCATTTATGTGTAGATACAATAATACTTTGTTCTGCTCATGTCTTGATCAAACATTCCACACATCAGTCCGAGTAACGTGCTCGATGTATTCAAGAATAACGGCAGCATGATCAAAAGTGTGACTATATACATAAGTATGTTGTATTAGAAGGATGAGGTACCGGGGGTGTGAGATGACAAAGGCAGTGCAGACGAGAGACTATGAACAGTGTGGTGTAAGGGATGATGGCAGAACAAAGAACGGACAAGAAGGGAGGCGGCAATGATATGACATCTATGTCAAGGACATAAAAAGAAACTGCAAGGCCGAGCAAGCATAACATCAGGTGGCAGACGAGAGACTATGAACAGTGTGGTGTAAGGGATGATGGCAGAACAAAGAACGGACCAGAAGGGAGGAGGCAACGATACGACATCTATGTCAAGGACATAAAAAGAAACTGCAAGGCCGAGCAAGCATAACATCAGGTGGAAGGAGGTGCGTCTGCCGGTCGGGTGTTGGAGTTGGGACTTGGACCGTGGTACGGGGCCCGCGAATCCTGACTTTCCCACCTAGAGTCTCCATTGTAGCGTCTCCTGTAGCCTTGGGAGTCATTATAGTAACCTCCGCTGCGCTGGGGAGCAAATACGTGGCTGTGATCATCATAATCACCACGGGGAGGGAATCCGTGTTCGCGTTTGTACCCATAGTCCACCGCTGGGCTGTATCTGTCACAGTCAGAGTACGCCAGTGAGCGACTGCGCTCCCGTTCCATGTTGTAAGTCATGCTAGATTCTGCTCCCGGAGACATGTCCCGCGTGTGATCACTGTCAACATGAGACCTGCGTGATGGATGCAAGTCATGAGAGTCCCGGGAGTCAGGTACATACCCAGGATTGCGAGTATATCATGGTGTTCAGGAATGTTGTCGCGAGGAATGTTGTCGCGAGGAATGTTGTCGCGAGGATTGCCGTTGCGGTGATAGAATGTGTCATGCGGGTGGAGGAGTTTCTCATTGGCACCTTGCATAAAAGGCAAATTCTGGTAATCTTGCGCCTGTCCGAATATTAGATTGCACGCAGAAAAAGAACGATGTGTCACTTACGGGATAGGAAGAGCCACGAATACTACGACCAGGGAAGCGATGATCATGGAGCTCTCGATCATGGCGTTCATGAGAGTTGGCCAGGAGAGGTCCACGAGGGTCAAGAGGTAGAGGTCCACGAGAACTGTGGTAGGGATTATTCCTGTGATCACGATCATAATGGAAACGATCCCGAGGGTCCTGGCGGATATGGTCACGAGGGTCCTGATGGATATGGTCACGAGGATCCTGACGGACAGGTTCGCGTGGATCATGACGGAAAAGCTCTCGAGGGCGCACGGGCTCTTCAGATTGGCGGTGAGCGTTTGCGGGGAGGTTGTGGGACTCCAGTAGGTCTTCATGAGTAACCAAGTGGTCATCTGCTGTACCTCGGGTCACCAATTCATCGCCTCCTCCTCCTCCTCCTCCTCCTCCTCTCTGAGGCAAAGGAGGAAGCTCTGCGGGTGAGGACATGTTGCCTTGTTGCAACAGCACTGGAACTCGGCCAACATCGCTGGGAACATCACGTTCGTTAGCGCCTGAAGTCGAAGGAGACAGTGGACGAGGAGACTGTTGTACCGGGCATGCGCTGTCCATCTCTGTATTGGACTGCGGCAGCTGGGCAGCCCCGTCATCAGTAGTATGCGTTGGTGCATCTGCAGGACATGTTGCAGAGTTGTCCGCACTCTTGGGGGCAAGTTTTTGGGACTTATCTGCAATCCCGTCGCTAACAGCTTCAACATCATCGTCAGAGTACATCACACGAAGGGCCCGGCCTTGACGAGTAGTCTTTGGCTTCGGACGTGAACCCTTGACAACCGGTCGTGGTTTAGGACGACCTGTGAAATACAAGGTGAGATCATTGAAACACAAAAAATTAACGCAGCCGTACCTTTTGTATCTTGAGGTTTGTTGGAAGGGCCATCACGAAGGCGCGTAACTCTGGCTGTGTAAAATCAGGTGAATCCCAGGGTGAGTTATAGACAGTGGGACACTTACTTGTGCTAGTTGCAGTGGGATCCTCCTCATCACTCGAAGACTCCACCGTCACAGGGGATAATGGACCCCCTTTCGTGGGAGAAGCACTAGGGGCCTGTGACTGCGACAGTCCTGATTTCTCCTTCGATTGCGTTCCTGTTCGAGTCGCTGCTTTTGGGACAATGTCTACAGGTGAAGCGCGCTTCTTCGATGCACGCAGCTCACCACTGGACTGCCGCTTCTTCCTCTTGCCCCGAGATGCTTCTTCGTACTCTGACTCAGAGTCCGGTTCACGCTGGTCATTTCCGTCTTGAGAATCGGATGAAGTAGATTGGACTTCAATCACCTCGCGAGCCGGCGGCCTGTCAACAACCTTGAAAATCCGCGATGGAGGTGGTTCAACATGCGTAGTTGATTTTCCTGTCAAAGTAGTAGATTTCTTGACTTTGGTAGTTGTGGAACTGGGCTTGAGGCGAGAAGGACCATTGTAGTCCGTATGACCATCGACGAACAGCCGTCGAGCACCTGGATAAGGATAGTCCGATTGAGGAGCTTCGCCGAGAATGACGGGCTTCTCAGAGCTCAATACTGCCGCTATTGACACCGGACCGTCAAGGAAAATTACACACTCAGGGACAGATCACACATACCTCGTTCCACGATATCAACTTTCTCTACATACATAGTCTTTGCTTTTAAGGACTCCACGAGGATAGAGACCTCCTTCTGTGTCAGGCCAGCGACTCCCTTGCTCTTTGCATTTGAGGCAACACCACGTGCCTCGCCAGGGAGGAGGCACTTGTGTGCAGGGTAGCCCTTGATGCAAAGGTTATCATCTGCGAGCGCGTTCGGCATGAGCTTCCAAGGAAAGGTCCTGTCAGTGCCGAATTTGCCTCCAAACTTGGCTAGTGTAGGGTGGTAAGTAGTCTGAATACAATAAATAAAAACCAATACCGAACGTACCGACTTGTTTCGTAATTTCCCTCTTGATCCATTTGATACTATCCTCTCGTCCCTCCAAAAGGTCAGAAGCCTGATCCACATCCTTAGAGTCTAGTAGGTCCTTGGAGTCTACACCTTTGGAGGTGGACGCCACGTCATCATCTTCGTGCTCCATGAATGCATCCTCCACAGCCGATAACGACATTGTGTTACTGTGATGTTTGATAAGACATCGCGGCCTTCAAGATAACGAAACAAGACTCACTAAACTTGGGCTTTGAGGTGAGCGAGGATGGTGTCATTGTCTGCGCGGCATCGCGTCAGAAAGAACTAGCACAAAATATCAATATGTGCGCGAGGTTTAGCATGATCTTTGACGACTTACATCCATTGCACCAGGTGTCGTGTGTACATGACCGAGTGAGGCGTCCTGATTGACAATTTTGCCACACATGACGGTAGCGGATTCGAACCCGAATTTGGCCGACGCAACATCCAACTGAAATGACAAGTGTACATTAAGCGTCGAGGCACCGATCACTTTGATATGAAATCACTTACTATATCTGTCACCCTTTTGTGAAACCTCTGGAATGCCTGCGCACGTTGGCTGACTGTTTGAGGCAATCCACCTAGTGAAGCCATCTCATCGTGGGTGTCAAGGATATCTTGATATGTGTCGGGGAACTGTTCTTTGAACTTCACATAGCATTCTTTACGCACACCCGCGCCTGTGATGCAAGATCAATTTACGTACTGAAATGAGTCTGCATTTAGAACTTACTTGGCGTGCTTCCTCCAGCCGAAAGATCTCGACCAAGTCGGGCGAGTTCCTGCTTGGACTTGTCCTTGAAATAATTGGAATAAAGATTCCA